TTGCTTTCCTGGCCTTGCTTTCCTGGCCTTGCTTTCCTGGCCTTTGCTTTCCTGGCTTTGCTTCACTGAAACATAGAGGCAGTTTTTGGCTGATTGACTCTGAGTGGATGTGATGACTTGAAGACAGCTGACAGATGGCAGTGTAAATAGGCGGATAGACAATAAACAACATTGTTTTGTTCTGTTGCTAGAGCAGAACAGGCGTCGTTGGAGCTGACGGCTTGTGGAAGGCAATGTTGGCTTGGTTGAACGATTGAATGGTTGATGCATGATTGAAGGAGCTTAGATGACGGCCTCGAGGGAAACAGGCGATAGATAATGGCAACATTGTCTTGTTCTGTTGATAGAGCAGAATGGGCGTTGTAGGGGTTGATAGCTGGTGGACAGCGCAGTTGGCTTGGTTGAATGATTGAATGTTTAATGAATGATTGAGGTAGCTTGGGTAGCGGTGCAGATAGTAGTAGATAGCAGTGTAGATTGACAATGATATCATAACAGTTTCGTCTTGTTGTATTGATGGAGGAGAACAGGTGTGGTAGGGGTTGATGGGTAGTGGAAAGCGCAGTCGGCTTGGACGAATGATTGAATGATTGATGATTGAAGTAGTTTAGGTAGTGATGTATAAGGGTTGTAAATTGTGGCGAAATGTTGTTCCTCTCTTACGAGGGTAGGGGTGTGGGTAGATTGGATTATGGAGGTTTGGATTGGTTGAAAGAAGGATCGCTTGATGGATTATTGAACGCTTGAACGCTGGACTGAATGCTTGAACGCTTGAACGCTTGACTGAATGCTTGAATGCTTGAACGCTTGACTGAACGCTTGAATGCTTGAACGCTTGACTGAACGCTTGAACGCTGATTGAATGCTTGAACGCTGACTGAACGATTGAATGCTTGGTGAATGATTGATGGAGCTTAAACGGCGGTGTAGATGGTGATAGATGGTGGCAGCATATTGTTCCTCTTTTATGAGGGTATGTTGCTGGGTAAATTGGATTGTGGAGGGTTGGCTTGTCTGGGATTGAGCAAGTATTGAGCGATTGACATGTTGCAGGGTGTTTAGATTGTATTTGTATGGTAGATTGTGGCGTTCCTCTGTCACTCAGTGGAGTTGAGGTATATAGTAATGTGGTGTTTTCATTCGATTGGAGGAGTTGAGTGATTGACGTGGTTTCATAGTGTGGTAAATGGTGACATAAATAGTAGCAAAATGTATAGAATTGAGTGAGTGGCAGAGGTGCAGTGAGCGACAGTATTCCAAGCAGCAGCGTAGATAAAAAGGATATGGCAGCGGTGTAGATTTGAGAGCGAGCAAGTAAGCGACAGTGGTGTGTAATGAGTGACAGATGTGTATAGAGAGCGACAGAAGTGTATATAGCGAGCGACAGTGGTGTGCAAAGAGCGGTCGACATAGGTGTAAATGAGAGTGGTGTAAAGAGCAGGTCGACATAGATGTAAATGAAAGTGGTGTAAAGAGCGTCATGATGGCTTTGAGGATGCCGTCAACCCTTGGTGTAATGAATGTGGTGGTGAATGAATGTGTATGGCAAGCCCAGATCGGGTCGCACTGCCATGTGTTGGACAGGAAGATTGACGCTGCTGCCACTGGTGCTCTGGCTTCTGATGCTCTTGTCGCTTGTAAAAACAGACTGGCAGACCTTGGACATATCTTTGCGCAGCTCGATGGCCAGAGTCTAATAACGCTTGGAGCGCTTTCGGTCTGCTGGCTCAAGGCTCACATCCAACCTTCAGTGGCATCTACCCAGCCGAAGCCAGTACGCACACATCCGGAAGGTGACAGAGCTCATCTTTAACTTGACATTGATGAGTCAGAGGTTCTGAGATGCCATGCTGTGCGACTCAGTAACCGGGACATCAGCCGAAGCCTTCTCACAGTCATTACTGGTCTGCAACCGTCTGTGACCTGACGGTAGATAGAGGTCCATTCTGCGAGGCAGTCTGGGGGCTAACCGCTGTTGTCAGACATCGGCGTCATGCACATTTGGCCGCGGCGCCCGCAAATTTAGTACGGAGTTGTCCAACGGTCGAACAGGTGTCCGCGCCGAGGACGAGGAACAACCCTTGGGAGGGTTGAGGCGGGAGAGGAAGAGGGAGAAGGAGGAGGAGGGAGAGGGCCCATGTCGTCCTCCCAGAGTTCAGGAGGAACCTCTGAGAGGGAGAAGTCGGACGTCGACCTCATCCCACGCCGGGGTGCCCGGCGGAAGATCTTGTTGGCGAGGCTCCTCAGCCGTAACTTGAGGATGAACCTCTTGATTGGCCAACAGAGGTCGTTGTCCCGAAGGACAGAGAGGAAGTTGCCCATGGTGCTTGTCGGGTGGGCGAAAGGAAGAGAAAGGGTGTAGATGGTGACTGTGATTCTCAACGATCTTATTAGCAACAGTCAACTTGCTGACAAAGTACACTTCATACTCACGGGTAGTGGTTGCTGCTGTTGCTGTCGCTGCTGCTGCTGGTGCTGGTGTCGCTTTGGGCTCCTGGAGCACGTTGTCAGTCAAACGGGCAAGAGTGTTGACTGTTGGGGGTACTCACGAGTACGAGTACTGTTGCGAGAGAAGGAAATGTCCTTCGAGGGGGGCATGCTGTGCTTTTATTCGCAAATTTTCCATCGTCAGATCAACCCAGGGTCCTCTTGAGGCCAAGAAGGGTTGAGTGATTTGAAGGAATCTTTCAATGGAAGTGGGGATGTCGTCTTCAAAAATACAGGTAGGCGAGGCTGAAACAGGGCGTCCGGTAACCTGTCAAAGTTAAAGTCCCACCTTATTGACCACCACCAGCCTCCTCGTTCACATCAATGCCACCAAACCCTGTGCAGCAAATCCTTTCAGAACTGGAATTGATACCTACCATTGAGCATCCTTGAGGATTTTTCAGGATCATCCTCGAACCAGGCCTTTCTTGAAAAATACGGCAGATGGGACCGGAAAGCCTAGAATTGTTTGCTGCCAATGAATGCCTAGGATCGACTGGAATGACCCTCCTTTGAAGCTTTTCATTTGCGACCAATTTTGGCATTGAGAATTTCTCACCTCTTGGGTATCACACCTGGGACAGGCAGCATTGACAAACCTCGAGTCCTGGGGCACCCCTGGGGTACCCACGGGGGTTCCACCTTTCCTTGGTATTGCACAAGAAGAATTCGAGAACGAGCACGAGCTGAGCGCATCGGAAGCATTGGAAGCCTCGGCTGGGTTTGTTTGACAGATGGAGCCAGCACAGAGACTTCTGTATCTTAAGGGTTCCTTCTCTCCACTAGGTACACAAGGCTGAGCTGGGGTGTTTTATCCACAGGAGCGTTCATGCCATTGGTGTGCGTTGGTTGCCTTGATCTGGCGAGTCAGTGGACCCAAGCCAAGCCCCATCGATGTGGCAAGTGTACCATCCTTAAAAATTTTCTCCTTGAAAGTGTATGATCCATCGCGAGGAATTTTTGCATGGCTCAATGATCACAACCCTTTGACCTTGATTCGTTGTCGAAACATTCCGCCCATGGTTCTGAGCAATGATGTGTTGGGCGATGACAGAGCGACACCCTCCCGCCAGCTTGAGAATCATCTCTCATGAATGTTCGGATGGCTGCGACCAACCTGTTATTTGCTTCAATGAGGGTGATGTTGACATACCTACGCGCCCAGGTGCGCTCGGCGCATTAGCGTGTCAGAAAGTGGTTGATCTTGCGGCAGGTGTGGCGAGGTGGCAAAGTTGCTTTCACGTGATGATACCGTCATGTTCTTATCGATATGATTCGCTTGCTTATCAGACCCGCCTGAACCCCCGTTCTCCGCCACTAATCCCAGTCTGGAAGCCAAGGCGCTAGACCTATTACAGCCACTAGTCGTACTCTTTGGCCCCCTTCAGTTCCACAGTCCGCTTAATCGTTCAAGCAGCTTTCAAGCACCGGACAGAGCCTCTGACTACGAAAAGATGATCTGAAAGACTGGAGTCTGGGGGAAGATAAGCGCTTGAAATCCTCACGAATGTGGGTTCCCCGATATATCGCCGGCATTGCACATGGATCGTGCAGATGTCTACTCGGAAGATCGAAAAGCTAGGACAAAATAGCCTGATGGGGAGCTGGAGCTGGAGCTTGGAGCTTGGAGCTTTCCCCGCACCACCTTGGAGAGCTGCAGTAATTCTGTCATGAGACTTTTTGTCCCACTGAGGGTCACGAAGAGAAGGAAATTTCACATGCAAGAAATGACATTTTGGGCGTCGCATCCACGGCCATTCGATCCGTCAATCATGTTTTTGGATTTGATCGAGATTTGCTCAATCTCAATCAGCCCAATACTTATCATAGATTCTCCATCCCAGATAGATGTATGTTCCGCCTGACCTAGATTGCTGGGGAAGAAAGAGATATCACTGCTCCTCATGGTATACTTCTGCTTTTGGTGGCTTGCTGGACTGAGCCGAAAAAAAATAATTGACCCTCCGCATGCTCACCCTTCCCTTTCAACCCTCGCTTGTACACATCATCAATCTGCTATAGTCTTGCCATCAACTGTGCTTGCTTCGACGGACCGTGTTTATTTCTTGGCCCTCTGGCCATAAGCCTTGGTGGCATAGTCGCCTTTGTAGCAGATGAGATCCTCAGGCCTGTAGTCGTGACGGCCAGAGAAGTAGCTCTCAAGGATAGCCTTGGTGCCAGCCGCATAACGTTCTTGTGCATCGATAGAGGTACCGGACATGTGAGGAACCATGGCGTTGCCGCCACCCCATGGGTTCTTGGCATATCTGAGAGGATGGTCCTTGGGGGCGGGTTGAGGGAACCACACATCACCACCGTAGCCGTTGAGCTGGCCGGACTTGAGGGCTTCGGCGACGTCTTCCTTGACAACAATGGCACCACGAGCCGTGTTGACGAGCCAAGCACCTGGAGAGTGGAGATTAGTCTCAAGTTGATGAAGCGAGTGGCGGGCGCAGCTTACCCTTCTTCATCTTGGAGATCAACTCCTTGTTGAACAATCCTCGAGTCTTCTCGTGGAGAGGGCAGTTGATGGTGACAATGTCGCATTGGGCCAACATCTCTTCGAGGTCCTCGACGCGTCTGCAGCCAATTTCCTTCTCCTTCTCAGGGCTGAGTGGCTGGTAGTCGAAGTACAACAGCTCCTTGCAGTCGAAGGGCTTGAGACGACGGAGCACACGCTCACCGATACGGCCGACGGCAACGGTACCAACAACCTTACCTTCGAGGTCATACTCGTTCTTGGCCACAGCTGCGACGTTCCAGTCTCCGCTCTCGATCTGTTCGTGGGCAGGAACGAAGTTGCGGACAAGGGTGAGGATGGTCATGACAACGTGCTCGGCAACGGAGACCACGTTGCTGCCAGTGACCTCGGCGACGGTGATACCGCCGTTGGTGGCATTGGCGGCGTTCAGGTCGACGTGATCAGAACCAATACCGGCGGTTACGGCAATCTTCAGCTTCTTTGCTTTGGCGAGCCGCTCGGCCGTGAGGTAACCAGGGTGGAAGCTAGAGCCAAGTGTTAGTAACATCGGCTAAGGTATTCTCCTCTCGGTGTGGGCGTCGTAGTCGTACGGAGTGGTAATGATGACTTCGGCATCGACCAATTCCTGGTCAAACTTGGAGTTCTCGCCCTCCTTGTCCGAGGTGGTCACCAATGTGTGTCCTTGATCCTCAAGCCATTTTCGGATCCCTAGCTCGTTCTCTGTGGTTCCGAGGAGGCGGGGTTGTTGTTTGGCATGCTCGTGGCCCTGGAGTCACTGTAAGGGACTGAATCTTGGGGGGTTGAGGATGCTGGCAAAAGGAGACCACAGCAGACATACATCATAGAGGACGAGAAGAACTTTGCCCTGGCGTGAAGCAGAGGCTGTCAGTGTGCGTTTGGCAATGGAAGGAATGGCTGCACGGCGTGCAAGATGCGGGGAACCAGAAAAGAGGGATGATGTGGGGCGCGACAAAGAGCGCGCAGCAGCACGAGCAAATACCATTGTGAAAAGGACAGGTGAGATGAGAGGAGAGTCAAGGTGATGAGCAGGTCGAGAGAAATTTTCGAAAAGATAAACAGGCGATAAAGTGGTTTTGTAGTAAGACCTGGGCCAGGAGCATTGGGTCAGTCCAGTGTCATGAGCTCAGAGCTGGATGCGTCTGCCGGCAGAGCTTTGAGCCTGGGAAACGGTACCTTAATTTCTGACTAGCAACACCGAATATCAGTTAGCTTGGCTCGGACCTGGACGGGAGGGGCTAAGGTGTAGCGGGGAATGAATGAGCGATCATTGAGGACATCGGGGGTGTGAGAGGTGTGCATCACGCCCGTTGCCACAAGTACAGAGACATGGCCGGGATTGGAGTGTCAGTGTGGGAAGCTGAGTGATGTGGGTAGATGGGGGCTCCAGGGCAGTTGGATTGGGGGAAGAGCAGCGGTGGGTTTGACGATGGAACCAATGCAGGGCTTGGAGGGGATGAGGAGAAGGAGATGTGTCGGGGGAGAGCAGGGAGAGTAAGGAAGAAAGGAAGAAAGGAAGAGGGGGGAGCTGCCGCAGTCTCAGAAGCTGGTGGTGCTAGGTGTGAGCAGGTGAGCTCCAGCTTCAGCAGCAAAGGACTTTGGCCGGAGGCCTCTTTAGGTGCCCTTCACCCGCTGCTGGGCGGCCATAACGGCGGCAAGCCAGCTGCGTGCCGGGTAATGCTGCCCGAATCGAAACACTGCAGAGACAGAGCACAGACAAGGAAATAACCAGGACAGTGGCTAGCGAGCTGGGTACGTACCTTCAAAGCCTCAACCCACGTCTCAGATCACAAGATGATCACTGAGAAACTGTAGTATAGCAGTAATATCAAAGAAATCAAGAATCAAGAATCCCAGTCGTCTTCGGACGAATGCTCAGCGCATTTATAACCCTGTGACCATGTCCCATTTCAATGACCGCACACGAAGATTTTTCCCTCTTTGCTGTCCTGGACGAGTTACTCTTAGGGCAACGAGTCTTCCACACATCATCCTTCATTCCCCCTCTTTTCTTCGTCCTGTTGCGGAGCTCTGCCAGTCACTGCCAGTCACTGCCACCTTCATCATGCCTGCCCCACCATTCACGTTCCGACTGCTACTTCGTCCAATGCTGGCTGCTTCAGAGTCTGAGCTCTAGGGCTCTCCTGCACCCAGCTCGACCCGAGTCCCTTGCCGCCTGACGCACGGCACTTGGTCCTCGAAACCCGTCCTGTCGCCTCACCCTGCCCGCCGAGTCCTCAGATTGTGCTTGATCTTCTCCTCGTGCATTCGGCGCCATGCCGAACAAATACCCTCTTTGACGGCTATAGTATCGCCATGACTTGCGTAGCCTCAATCGAGGGTCATGTGCGGCCACAAGAGGATGACAAGCGCCCTTAGGACGTCGAGACCTTGATGCTGACGCTCCAGAGATACGCGTGTCCCTACATGGAATGGCCTACACCACGCACGAGCGGGCATTGCTCGGAAGTTGTACCTTTCCGCTGCACAACACGGCCCTTTTGGTCTAGAAAATGTTCTTCCGTGTTTCGGAAGGCTGAACTGCTAGTCTTCCGATGCTGTGGTCGCAATCCCTGGATGTAAACAAATGTACTATTTTGGTATCAAATGGCGGAAGCTCGGCCGGCACTGGGAACATGTGGGGAGCTGGGGGAATTCCCTGCCCAAAAACTCCCGTCCCTGTCGCTTCATGGCCGGCCTAAATGATTTGCCGTCGAATCGCCCGCTTTTGCCCGAGTTGGCCAGCAACATCTGCCCTTGCGGAAGGTACCAAGGCTTGAACAAAACGGCTGAAGTCAACCTGAGGCCATATGGGAACCCACATAATCCGCACCCGCATGCGCCTAGATCTTATGGACATGGATCGCGATTCCTGCTTGCCCTGAATCGATCCATGACCGAGATATCCCCAAGCAAGGCTCTAGTGCCAGAGCAGCTACTCCCACGTCTGACAAGCTGTTCACTTACCCGTTGGTTCCTGCCATTCCCCGCCATACCCTAGAGCGATATTGTTCCCGTTGCCAGCTCAGTCTTTAGCAAGAGATTTCTCTCTCACTTCTCAAAGCGCCTCGGATTTCTGAGACAAGTCTTCTGCCCTGAAGGAGCACGATAACGGAGTCTGGATGTTCTGTATCCATCAGCAAGGAGTATTGATGCTTGGATGATATCCTGAAGTGGCTTGAGCTCTGCTGCAAGGCTGTGCATCCTGCGAGGCAAGACTTAGTCGGATCTGGGTCATCTGGCTTCCAAGTTGCATGATTGCTCTCCGCAGATCCAGGACCGGATTTCTTGCTCCGTTGGTCACCATCAGACCACAATAGTGCCTCGATCTTGCAGTATGCCCACTGTCCAGACGACGCCTTATTGGTTTCTCCAACTTTGGGGAGGGGACCCCAATTAGATGTTGCGCATGCCGGCTTTAATCTGATGTTTGGAGGTCTCGCGATGTACGCTCTCACCCATTCGAGAGGATCCTGTCTGATGAGTAACCCCGGAATCAATGTAGGAAAGCGTCGTCTTGACCCCGAGTAGCGGTGGGACTCCATCGTGCTTGACGACTCGATCCCAGGCACAGTTTCTCCGACGGGGCAGACGTTTATATGAATAGTCCGAGTCGTACATTTTCCGTTTCTTTGAAAATGAGCACTCTCGACCACGTTTTTGCTCTTTGACTTCCTTGTCCATACAGGATCAACGGAAATCCTTCGTCTTGGATGCCCTGGTCTGCTGGTGGCATTGATGCTGTTGTACCACCATATCGTCGAGGACCCGCGCTAGCAGATACCGCCAATAGTGGCCCATTCCGTCAAGCTTGATGGCCAACATCCCAATGAGTTGATCCTCACCAACGCTGCAGAGTTATGATGGTCCCCACATCAAGTGCCGACACGAGGGCGAGAGGGAAGTCTGGTACACTCAGCGCTGAGCACTATCTTCAGTTCCAACTGAGGCCTCTGATAAATCAGAACTTCGCTTACTACTCTGTCAACTTTCCATTGCAAGCATCCGTAGAGCCGTACATGGGTAGCCCGCAAAAGAAAGGGGCATCGCATTGACAAGGCGATGATCGGATTGTGCGAAATCCCCGGGAGATCTTGGACGGTCTTTCGCGGTATTCTGTTAGAACACTGCAAGTGACAGAGAAACAGATAGTAGATGACCTGTCATAAAGCTTTGCTCGGTGTCTCATACCTTGATCATGGTAGAACACACGTCGATGCTGTTGTGTCGATGCAGACAGTCGTGAGGGGAAATGCCGGAGACGGCCTTACCTTTCTCCGGGAACAGGAACCGATGCGTGCCAACAATAGCCGATGACAACACATTTTCTTAGGAGCAAAGAAAACCCAGCTTCACAATTGAGTTGACGGCAAGGAACTCTCCAGGCAGGTGATTCTCTGCTCAAAACTATGGCAACTGCACGCCTGCCTTTTCTATATCCGAACTTCCTGCGCGCCGTGCGTGCGTGCGAGCCAACCACCTACCATTCCATTCGAGCCCCTCCGCCAGCTGCGGCGAAACCTCGTCGTAAAGCCAAGCTGCATACTTCTGCACGCCGTCCGCAGGACGCCTTTCCCCAGAGATACGGGCCCGCTGCTACCCAGAACCTCCCACCCCCGTCGAAACCTTCGGAAGCAGCGAGTTCTCAGCGAGAGGGCAACGAGAAGGAAAAGGGGAATGAGGAGTCAAAAGAGGGCAGAGAATCATCTCAATCGGGCTCCGTGAAGAAAGATGGGCCGACGGCAGAAGAAGTCGGGCAGGACGAGCCCCAACCATCAAACGCTACGTCAGACTATGTTGATGAAGCGTCAATGAGCACAAAAAACCATAAAATCAATGTAGAAGAGGACAAGCCTCTAGACAACAAAGAACTCGACCTGATACTTGCGATACCTTCGCCGTCGGAAGTCAAGGGCAAAGACGCCCCCAAGCACCCCCATCTCGAACCATCGCCGTACGAACATCATTTCGACACTTACTCGCTTGTCCAGCAGCTAGCGGCCAAGGACAAGGACGCCTACACCGTTGACCAAGCCATAACGCTGATGAAAGCCATCCGGCTGATGCTCTCGCTAAACCTCGACGTCGCCAAGGAAGGCCTCGTTTCAAAGTCCGACATTGAGAACGAATCGTACCTCTTCCGTGCCGCCTGCTCCGAGTTAAAGACCACCCTACAAAGCACTCGGCATTCCGAGACGCTCAAGCAGCGCAGCCAGCGGGCACAGCTGCAGCACGAATATGACATCCTGAACCAGAAGGTGACGCAGGACCTGATGACGCTCAAGGAAGAATTGAAGGGGTTGTTCAATGATCGAAAACTGGGCTTGCAGGAGGACAAGCGCAAGATCGATAGCAAGATCTCGGAACTGAACTATGAGATCACCGTGCTTCTGAACAGTGAAGCGAGGAGCGAGGTCGAGGGGTTGCGGTGGGTGTTGACCCGTCGCGCGGCGTTGGCGATTGGATTCTGTGCCTGTAAGTTGCTTCATCCTTTGTCCGTTGCCCCCAATTATCTGTTCCAACGCTCACGATGTTGTCCAGTCATGATCATCTCGGCCCTGAATTACTCCGGGATCAAGATGCGCGAGAAAGAGGCAGCGGAGAAGAAACGCAAGGAGGCAGAGAAGGCGCAAGAGGAACGGGAGCAGCAGTACCAACGCGAGCAGGCCAGGTTTCCCGGGTCGAGTCGGACGCAAGGGACGCAGACCGAGGATATGGCCCTTGTCAATACTGAGAGCGTGGGTTGAAGTTACTCATGTCGATTTGCAGTCCCCTTATGTCACAACATATAAAATGTGGCTGGACCTTTTTCGCCATATACAATTCGATACCATATAGACTTAGATTCTCAAATGACGAAGGAACGATGAGGAAACCAGTGCTCAGTCGAAAGACGGCAGACCCAGAGGACATGTCTACTACTCTTGAACGACTGGCCTTGCGAATCTTGTTTTCCTTCCTTTGTACAAAGGCGAGACCACCCCTTATCACTATGTAGATGGGGAACAGACTGCGCGCAGAGAGAGCCAGTGGATATCCTATCTATGTCTTTGCTTGCTTGCTTCCATAGCCGGACGGGACTTTTTAGACGGTATGAACGCCGTGCGAGGGGCGAGGGCGAGGGCTAACGCCGACAACAACGAACACGGTCAGAGATTCGCCCAGTCGACCTCGCTCGGTTCCTCGAGCTGCTTCGCGGGCTCTTGCGCCTTCACTGTCCCCGTACCGAGCAGCTGCCGTTCGTTCCCGGCATGTCCCTTCCCATCCCCCTCCCCACGCTTGTCCCAAGTCAAGACGACCTCAACGACAGGAACATTTGCTTTCCTCGCTTCAGTGCGTCGGCGGAGTCTGTGTCGCGCGGCTGCGACGCGCTCGGGTGGCAGTCTTGTGATGCTGGGTCTAGCGGCGATGGTGCCCGCCGAGGCGGAGCGGATGGACGTTGTTATCGCCGCCGGATCTGCCTCCGCTGACGGAGGTGGGTTGTTGGGAAGGTCGCTGGGACGTGTCGTTGATACTAAAGTTGAAGTTGCGGCTGAAGCTCTTCGCTGGGATGTGGACGTTGAGAGTGATCGCTTGATCGAGGGTGGATGGTCGCTCGGGGCACTGCACGACGGACCCGAAGGTCTTGCAGGATCGCAGACACGATCGCTTCGTTCTGCTGTCCCGGTACTCGACAGGCTTGTGTACCTCTGGTCCTTGGACGCTTTCTCTGATCTCTGGCTTCGCACCGTGGTTTCGACCCTATCGACTTCCTCCCGGACGTAGCCTCGAGGTTTGTCCCTTAGCGCCGGCGACGCATTATTCGTACCCGTTACTATCCCAACACTGACCCGCCGCTGCTTTTCTTCGTCTTTATCCCTCAGTTGTCCCCGTACCACTTGCGGGACATCGCCGCTGGCACCGCGGTGGCTTTCAGAAGCACTGCTGTCCGCGTCTCCTCTTTTCAATCTCTCATTCTCCCTCCGCAGCTGTTCAATCATGCTCTTCAATTCCTGGTTTTCCGCGTCCTTTTTGCGCGCGTACTCGCGCATCTTCTGTCCGTAGCGGACCAGTTTCTTCATTTCCTTTTCGGTCTGCGCGAGGTAGGCTTCGATGGATGCTCGGGAGAGTACGCATGGTGAACTTGGTGGCACAGACGCGGTTGTAGGGCGGTTTCCTAGCAGCAATTCCTCATCTTGTAATAATGGGTCCTGCAACACGGGCGTCGACTTTTTCTTCGTGGGTGATGCCGCCGGGTTGTTGGTGGGTTTTGAACAGCGAAGGGTCGGCGGCGCCAACTTCGGGCCTTCCGGGCTGACGCTCTTGAATTTGACGTTGATGTCCTTTAGATACTTTGCTCGAGGTGTCGCCAGGCCGGGCGTGCGGAGTATGCCCTTTGTAGGAGAGAGGATTGTCCCGCCGCCACCGTTATTAGTGTTGTCGCTTTCCCGCTTGCGCTTCTGTGATGGTGACGGGGACGTTTGAGGCGAATTTCCCGTGGAGTGCTTTCGCTTTGGTGACGAGGGAGGGTATGCAGGCACGAGGTTTTCCTTGTTGGCGTCGTGCTCGGGCGAGGATTCGGGCGAGGCAAAGAAGATGCTTCGAAGTGCGCGATAGGCAAAGACTGGGGCTGGGGTTATCGGCCCCTCCAGGATGGTGTCCTCGGAGGGCATATTGTTGGGATGAGTCTGCAGAGAATGAGATGAAGTTGTTGTGGTAGCCCGGCATCTATGAGGAGGACATTCTATCATGGCATTGTGTCCAGCTTGAATCTAGGGTTTGGAATCCTCAAGTCCGAGCTGCGCGTTGTTGGTGTTTTTCCGTATCTGGTTAGCGCGCGGGCTATCGATAACGACCCCGACTATGATTCTCATCTACTACCTTCAAGGTCCATAGAACCCTTTGTCCCCCTAAGGCTCTTCTCTTCTGTCATTTCATCCCCTCGACCAGCTGGCAAATCCTCGAGGCACAAGCCCAGCGCTGTGTTCTCCGAACCTGGTCGTCCTCACCATCACGATATCTTCCAGCTGCCTCTCGTCCGTCGGCAGGAAAGGCCGCAGATACTTCTCAGCGTATCCCGCCGGCATCCCCGCGGCGTGCCCGTCCTCAATCGCCTTCTTGACCCAGATAACGTACTCACGCTCTATGTTGCCGACCGTCGTCCGCTGCACGTCCACATAGACCGTGGCCTGGACTTGAATATCTCCGCCAGCCGCTGCCCAGTCAGACGACTTGTCAACGTCGTTTAGAAGCCGTGTGACCGCCAATGTCATCTTTTCATACAGCCAGGGCACCCCCTCGCTTTCGTCCAGGGCCATCTCGTCTCTCTTGCTGAGAAAGCACAGACTTCCGTACACGACATCCCCCGGAGAAGGTATGATGTTTGCGTATCCCGTTTCGTTGATGATCCATTTCCAGCCCTTCAGCTCGGCAATGCCTATGAAGAGAGAGTCGGGACATCGTTGCTTCATCGTCCGTGGCGACAAGTTGGAACCATAGCCGAAATAGACGCATGAAAAGTCGGATTGTTTGAAAGATGAAGTCAATGATGACTGAGCGGGCTGCGACTGTGCCTGGGTGTTCTCCGCTGGTGCAGCAGCACCAGCCTCCGGGTCAACGATGCCAGTTGAATTCGTTGGTGGGTCCATGATCTTCTCCTCGACTCCAGTCATCATTTGTCTGATATAGAGCTGTGATAATAGAAGGTCAATGACGCATTCACAGGCTGATATTTGAGCTCAATGTTGAAACACATGTGCTCAACAAGGTGCGGGGTTCACGCAGTCCCTTTCCTCCGGACCTGGTAGATCGATTGACAGGAGAGCCAGAAAACATAGTTTCAGGCGACCAATGCTGAAGCAAGGGTATGAAGGTAAATGGCATTCTACCTGATCGTTTAAACGTGATGGTACCTACCTAGGGAGGTATGCTCTGCTCCTGAGTATGGCTAGCTGCACTTTTCAAATACAAGATCTTAGTGTGAACAGTCATAATGGATATGGCTTGGCTATTTAGATTTTCAGTGATTAATTGCTCGACTATGGATCGGCAATCGCCATGTCGTCTGCGCAGCAGAACTGCGACAACGGGTTGTAACTGGTCGAGAACCGCTAATGCCCGGCAGAAAGGCATCACTTTTGTGACTGTTCGGTCAGTGGGATATGGGCGCTGCTATCAGATTCCAGAATGGCATCGCCTCCGCTCGGCCGGTGGAAGTGGTGGGAAAGTAACTCGAGTCGTTATCATGGTTGTTCTCGGTGGTTGGTAGATCGGACTGTATTTATCTGAAGCACTCATTTCCTGGAGCTCATTGCGGTCAAACTGGCTCAGAACAGGAGATCGATCCATCTTTTTCCCATCTGGATGGCAAACTCTACTCGGGTGCCCATGGCGATCGCAATCATCTGTAAGCCACATCGGCGAGAACGCCTCGAATGGGGTTGAGTGGTTATCTGTGGTGAACCAGTGTGGCGGATCGGGAATCATATGTGTCGAGAGACAGAGACCCCAGCGGCGAAGAGACGAGGCCTTTTGCATAAGCCGAAAGGACGAAGATGTCCTGCTTTCCCAGGCAGGTTTTCAAGGATTTTCCGAATCCGAATCCTCGTCTTCTTCCACTTGCTTGTCCATGACTTTCCTCCATTCTTCCATCATGTTCTTCATGTCTCCTGGCGCCATGCTGGCGTCCACGACTTCCTTGGGAAGTTTATGCGCCGAGTACTTTGTCGCCGAGAATTGATAGGCCTCTGGATCATCTCGTTTCACGAGCCGAAATTCCGGGTCAAAGACCACATCTCCTTCTTCTTCATCCTCATCAACCTCTGCTTCTCGATTTGCACCATCCAGTCCTTCTACAATCTCCAATTTCGGACCCGGGGTTTCTACCGATGGTAATTGTAGCAACTCCAGCCAGGAGAAGAGTAATGGATCCGTCCGTGGTGCCCATGGATTTATGTCGATTAACCACACACGGTCGTGCGGTGGGGGAATATAGACATCCACGACGAAGTTTTCGTCCGGGAACCCCTTTCCACCGCTAACAGGTAGCAAGTACCGCTCCAAAAATTCCTGGATCAACTTTTTGAAGGCATCTTGCAAGTCGAAGAGGAAATCAAAGTGGTTCATCTCCCGCTGACTGATCGCAATGAGTTTTCGTTGGCGGATGAAACACCGAAATTCGAGTGAAGGGTTCAGGTTGAATGCTTTCCGTAGTACAAGATGGTAAGGCACTTCAGGGAATGCTTTCTCTTGGCTATCGCCCTGGACGTCACCATTGTGAATCTCGGTCTCGGGGTCGCCGTGCTTCGAATCCACAGCGATGGTGCATCCATCAAAAGCGTGCTCCAAGTCATGCGTGATGAAGTCGCTTGACTTTAACAGCAAATACACGTCATTTGGAGTTCGACATTCCATGTCATTTGTGGTCGCAATCCAGGTGGCATCCTTGGGCGCCGACCAGTTCAGTTTCGGCATCACTTTGCCTCCCAGTTCGGATATCGTCGACCGGATCTTTGCATGGATGTCGGCCCATTGTTCCGAAGGATCTTCGTCCTCCTCCTCGTCGTCGTTCTGGAAGCCGTCTTCGAACCCACTATCTGCGTCATTGGGCCCGTGCTCAGGAGGCAATATTATCCCGTCGGCACGGAGATAGTCCAGAAATGGCTGAGAGAGGGGAATAAGTCGGGATTTGGGCGTGAGAGATCGGAAACGGGGATACCACGAGTGGAAAGAGCAATTTAGGATGTGAGCTGGAGTGACGGGAGGGAAAGGCAGGGACGTTAGCGGTCTTTGGGTGTCATTTGTTGTGCTGGACATGTTTCTTTTCCTTGGTGCTTGTTGCTTCTGGTCAGTGTTATGGTCGTGCAGAGAATTATTCTGTCGCTGGTTGGAAAAAGATGAACGAACAAACGAAGATGATGCTCTGGCTTCGAATCATCTCTTTCGCCACAGCCTTGCCTTACTTGGCGTCAGCCTGACACGTGATGGTCCCCGTTCTTCCAGTCGATTCTGGAGGAACTTGATGAGTTCTACTAGTATTACAGGGCTCTAACGACCATCTGACTATGGTCAGGCACTGGCTTAGCAGTCGAACCCACTCTAGAGATGTTTGCGACTAATTTTCATTATCATTTCCAATCATCACTTGTTTGTGGTATTCAATTTAAACATTAACAGACATCCATTTGTCCCCATTACCCAAGAGACCTGTCCTATACCGAGGCCAAATCAAGTCGTTTCAACTCCATCCAGGTTTGATCGAGCTCATAAAGAAATATACTGTACATATTCAGAAGTCCAGCGCCAGCCCCCGCCATGGGATCTATATCCACCCCCATGTTTCCACGTCGGCGCCTTGCTTGCCAACTGGTACCGTGACTTTCTCCTGCTCCGTCAGTGACGTATCAGAAGCGCTAGCTTTGATTGACACCAGTGAACTCGTTTCCGAGGAAGGAGCAGTGCTAGTCGCATCATCCTCATTCACTGCATTATGACCCTGGCTGTTGAGGGTTCGCTCATTGATGCTGTCCAGTGGGAAGCGGGAGCGAGAACCGGAACTTGGCGGACGCCTGTCTCCGGCGAGTGCGCTCCGGCACTTCCTGAGAGTTCTGCTGTTGGTTGGGGTCGGAGTGTCTCTGTCAGGAGAGTCGTGAAGAAGGACAGGTTCTTCCAGTCCTCCTGGAATATGTCTCATTGGCGCAAAGATCTTCATCATGGTCTGGATCTGCGTGGCTTGCCACTTGATCTTCTCCTCCTGCTCCAAGATCGTCACATAGTAGTCGTGCAAATCTCGGTGTAGCTGTCGAACAAGGTTGATGTCGCCGCTGTTCCATCGCCGGCGTTTGTTCCTCTGCTGGCTAGCCGGTTTGATCGGCGAGATCTTCTCACCAGGCGTGAGCCAGTGGTCGTCACTAGAGCTGCTTGGGGCTGTGCTTGGGGCAGGACTGCCAATTCTTCCAGGCAACTTGTTGGTTTGGCCGCTCGAGCAAGAACGTGATCGACGAGGCTTGACCGCTTGCTCCCCCAGCGGACTACTGGTCCCTGCTGCTTTTCGTCTCGGGCTCTCCATAGGGCTGCCCAGAATAGTGTCTCGTCTGGGACTCTCGCGTAGACTCAACCTGTTGGCCATGACCTCTTTGAGCTTGGAAGGAGTTCGTGCATGCCTTGCACTTGCCACCCCAGTGACGCTGCCTGCAATGCTCAGTCTTGGACTTATGGCGCCCGCGCGAAAACGCGCTGTGACGGGATCACTGTCGACGACGACGAAAATATTGCTCTGACTGAGCGTTTGTGGAGGAGGCTTGCTCCGTTGAATTTCCGTGGATTGGACTTTGGACATACAGCGTTGCTGTTGGCGAGTTCTCAGCTCTGGGCTGTGCTGGCGACTATAACACGACGTGGACCTGCTGCAAAGACTTGTAGGTCGGGAGTCCGGGACGGCTGGAAACCTATCGAGCTCATCAACATGGTATGCGATGGCCGGTGAGGCTTTAGACATCAAAGCCTTGTGGCGAGTTTCGTTCGTTCCCAAAGAGTCAACCTTGCTCAAGCGAACGCGCGACTTGGCAAGATCGCGCATTCTCTTTTCTTTGACTTTATCGGCGCGGGTGCTTCGAATGACATGGCGTACAAAGTGCACACAAATCTGCAAGTTCTCTTCGAGGCCGCCTTCTAGCTTTGCCAGGTCCTCTGAAGATTTGGTCACAGCAAGTTGTAAATCGTGTGCTTCCGGGGGCAACGCAGGCAGTGGTATGTTGGGAGGAGGTCCGCTATTCCGGGCTCCAGAATCCGTGGACCCATTGCGCCTGACTTCCACGTCGATACTGTAGTGCGACATCCTTTGAACTTGAGCTTCTATTCCCGCAAGAGTATTGGCAGCACTCTTCGCCGATCGTGCGGAAGAGAGACGCATTACGTGCTTCGCCTGTCTAGGCTGTGGCCTGGTGGTAGTGTTTTGGTGCTCAAGTAATGAATTGAGAGATGAAGAGACGGCCAGCGGCTCGGCCTGCTTGGTTTGCAGCATCCTGTTGAGACTGCTCAGAGTATTGCCTGGAGCTTGAGCTACAAATTCCCGGCGTTGAGGCGGGTGAGCCGAGAGAGGGGCTGTGGGGGTGTTGTGAGGTGCTCTGACTTCTGGTGATGGTGGTAGAGGCTTGGAGGTAATAGCTTGAGACAGTAGCTGCTTGCGGGCAGTGTCTTCTGGCATCGGGATGAGTTCACGAGAAGTATATTTTCTTGCTGAGGATCGCGTGACGACGGCGGGTACTGCAGAGGTAGTCGGCACGAGGCGATCACTGTCAAAGTTCAAGTTTTTCAGAACATTTCTGCATTCGTCTGAAAATCCGTCGCTGTTGATGGGGTTGTTGAGTATCGACGAGGGTGCGAGCGCCGAACAGGCCTCAGGTTCATTCCCCGCGCGACAGTTTCCATTGAGACATGACCGGAGACCCCCATTGGTGATAGTGAAGCCAGATTCGCAACAGATGTTGTGGTTGTCCTTTTCGGGGTTGCTCTCTCCTCGCAAGACAGGGGGCACAAAAATCAAAGCTGATGGCCGCCGGCCTGCGGCATCCTGGCGTCTCGTTGTTGTGACTTTTCGGTTTCGAGGCCGTCTGTTCGGCCATACTCTTGAGCCTGCACGTGGTACCTTGCTAATGAGAGGTTTGACACATCGCCAGTAGTAAGCGGCGCTATGCGCGCAGAGGCCGCCGGAATTAGTGCTGGCCTCGCTGATATTGCGGGGGATCTTCGGACGTCCAAAACTGTTGCCCACCGCTTTGGGAAGGAGGCGATGTTGTTGTAAAGACATCGAGCGTCCAATATTTTGTTGATCGTTGCCAGTCGCGGACGAGCATCGGTCCCCAGTCGACGGGCGCGTTGGAGCTGCATCCATTTCCGCGCGTGATCTGGCATACATCCTCGCCCATCTTCTGGATTGCCGAAATTGCGGCATGCGTGTTCGCGAGATTGACTCACACCGTGTCGGAACATTCGGGCTGGGACAAGCCTCGCTGTAAGTATGCCACTCTGTTCGAGGGTTCTCAAGGGTGATTTGAGAAATCTCTGGGAATGTTGCCATGGAATCCCGAGCAAGAAGAGGTACGCCCACAGAGGTGTCAATGGGCGGGAGCGCCATGATTGGTTCTGTAGTCTCCATTGTGGCCTCAGTGTCTCGCATGTAGAGAATGTCCAGCCTTGCTTGCAACATGGGCAGCAAGTGGTTCAATGGATACCTAGGTATCCAGGACGTGTTGATCTTTGAAGGGCTTGTGGTAAAAGAAATATGTAGATCAAATTTATTGACAGAAGATCAGCAGGCCAATGCACCGCATGTCAGGGTGTGCGTGAGTGGGTGACGGGTGGGAGAACTGGGGAGGAACATTCCAGGGTCGCGACGTGTATTAATGGACCACGTTTGTCAACGCTCAGGGTGAGCGATGGAGTCTGGGAAAAAAAGGATTTGACATGTCTCGCGGCTGGCATGAATGGGAGAAGCCCATGTTCCGTATCTCAAGTTGCTTTGTGGGTGTAGGAACCTGAGCATCCATGCAATCGCAAGGCCCAATTCAGCAGTGGTGGCAATGACAAGTAGAGATGCATGTTCGGCAGCCAATCGACGATGCCCAAAATATGCCGGCAAGGCAGATCCGAAGAGGTGGCTGCTACAAGCAAGCAAGGGATGGCGCGAGGATGGATCTCGGGGTATGGAGTCGAGTGGCTTGCATGGAGGAGTCTTGGTTTGACGTGCTTCTTGGGGCGGAATGGTTGCTGGTGGTTGCTGGTGGTTGCTGTGGTTGGATGCGCAATCGGCTCCGGGCCGAAGTTGGTGGAGTGATTGGTGGCGCCATCGCGCTAGTATCCACTAAAGACCCACTTTATTCCCCTAGCGCCACTAGCGCCACTAGCGCCATCTGTCAACCTCAAACTCCACAAACACAGCAAACTTAGGCTATCAAGCTACGAACAGGGCACCCCCTCCCTCCACCGCCATCCACACACTTCGGATGTGGCATGGTGCAAAGCTTGCAGAGCTGAGAAATGCTGGAAGGGTTCAAAGGCGGGGAGCCGACGCGACAAAGTCTGCTCCTTCTCGTCCATTTCCTCCTCTCTCCCAAAGTCAATGACTACATTTGGCTGCTCCCTGTCAGGCCCCCTTGCTTCATTGAGATACACTATCCCTCAAAATCAGGCCCCGGAGAACCATTGCCCGTGTCTTTGTTCACATCCTTGCCGCAGCAGTTTCCAAACCTTCATCCTGCGCCCTCCATCCTCACCTCCCGTCCTGGCTCAACCGGCTTCACATGCCTCTGGTGCTTCTACCAATCACTTGTGCGTAATTTGAGCTCCGTGCAGGCGTCCTATCCCGCAAAGAGCGGCATCTCTCCCTCCGGGATCTGTCATCTGGCCTTGGCTTCGCTAAGCAGCTTGCCACCCCGAGGGCGCCCAGGGTTAGCGTCCTATTACCTCAGGCATCTCAATTGCGCATCCCTAAGCCTGGCTCACGATGCTGGTCTATTGGCTGCTCCTTGCTTTGAAAAACAGAGTTCAGCCAGCTGCAAAGACATCACTCTGCAGGATCAAAGGAAGATACCCTGGCAGATTGCGGCACAATGTTCGATGCAGAGAGCCAACTCCTCCCCTGATGACGTTGCCCCTGGAGGCAAGATCGTTTCCCCCCACCCATTGTTGCTCTCTCGTCTGCGATACCCTGTCTAGATGTCGAGGGTTTTGCGACGGCACGGGTCTTCCATCCTCGGCCGTCCTTCCGGATGAGCAGCCCGCAAATGAGAGGAAGCCTTTGCACTAACAAAAGCTATCTCGCTCTACCGACGATCATCTCCTAGTCAGGCTATCTCTAGGTTGCTTCCCCCACCTCTCGCAGTATTGACGACACTCATCATGCGAGTCGATTCCTTGATATCTGACGACACACGTCACCCGGGTTATGTTGCCAGATGGTCTCGCAATAACTTTCGACCCCCAACAATGCGCATCCTCCATGCGAGGCTTGTTTTCTCAACCTCTAACAGTCTACGATTCTGCGTCTGACTCAACGACAGGTTTGCCGGAGGCATCACCCGCAAGACCAGGCTTCGGAGTCAGGCTCGGACCTTATCTCCTCCGCCCCTAATGTGGGGATCATACTTTCATTGTCCGGTTGTCCTTATTGGAGTTGCGCGTTCCGAACTCAGGTTTCTCAGGTAGTCTTTGTGTACTGATAATAGCTAAACGGCACAGTCTCAGCTGGCTACCTCGAGTCAAACTCAACTGACCACAACGCTATGAGTGGAACAGTGATAGCTAGCCCTAGCGTTGTTCCCCTTTCCAGTTGGTCCAGCGGCCGCAAGCCAATGAATCGCTTATACTGACTTCCAGCGAATCAAGCGCCTCGTCGCTCTGTATCTGGGGCTCGAGTGTACATACCCGGCTTCCCAGTTCACCTTCTTCCAGCTCGGCTGAGACCCCTCGACCTCCAACTTCAGCGAGAAATTACCATATCGAATACATCCCAGGGGGATATGCTTGAGTGCCAAGACTTGGGGTAAATGTTTCTACATTGGCTCTTTACAATCTCCATTGACAGCGACGTTGTTGCAGACACAATCGATAACGCCCGCCGATCTGATTCTGCATATTTGAACGAGCAGTCCACTTCCCTCAAAGTCACCACCAAAGTCACCACCACGCGTTGCAACGATGATTCTCGCAAACATGGCAAGAAAGGATATTCACAAAACTGTAAACAACTGTGTGGGCAAGCAGGGCCTTCCACAAGGGGTAAGTTTCTTAGGGGCAATCGCTCCTCAAAGACTCCACCGACACCCTTACGTGTAGTCCTCACGGATGTAAGTTCGACACGCCTACCAAGCTGCGTCAGGGGATATTAGTTACAAGAGTCGAGATTTACTTTTGGAAATCAGGGTCTTCAGCCCCCGACGATCATTTCTATCATTGAGGCTTAGCACAGCCTCGACTAAGGCGACGGGGACCTCGTTGACCACGCGAACGGCACACTATCATCCACGGCGAAATGTTCCACTTCACCGACCTGGGAAGTCTCCTGAATCTCTGCGCCTGCAGCTCCGCCAGATTGAGCTTCTTCTCTTGCTTTGCTTCCGTGCAGGAGACTAGCTGCCTGGATCGACTGGCTCCGACCTCCCACGAGACTGGATCGGCGGCTGTTGTGGTCTTTGAAGTACAGGTGGGCTTGGACCCGCTGGACGGCATTGAAAGAAAGTGTGTTCGGTCAATAATTTCTTTGAACTACCCCTTCCGTGTCTGTTTCACAGGTTCTCAAGCGAAGATTACCTAGAGTTGGACGAAACTGCCTTGAAGTGAGTGGTCTACGGCCCTCTCCTGCACCTATTGTGCCGCATCTCATTTCCACCAACGTGATGAAATAAGATGCATTTGGAATTTATCTCGGAAGGACCATTACGGATTAACCGTGTCCAGAACCTCCATCTGCTGCCTGCCTTGTTGCGGAAGTCGCTTCACTCCACGAGTATAGACGACACACTTTTGGAGTTGTTCAATAAAGCTACTATAGGCTGCGCCAATGCGTTTCAATCTCATTGGCTTGCAACATGCGGACACGATCGACAGCAGCACAAGGCCAGATCGCCTGTCGGGGAATACCAGATCGAAGGTAGGTAGGAGCTCGCTAAGTGAGGCCGAAACCGAATCTTCAGGCGGCTTGTGGGCGGATTCAATCATTCGAAGGTACAGCAATAACCAGACAACATGAATCCGCTGCAGAAGCACCACTTTACGACCTGAACTCATCATCTGGGCGGTCATCATAGTAAAGGTGGGAAAGATCGAATTCAAAACGTGCTGTAAAGCATTGGCGAACAGTCAAAATGCTTTTCGCCTGCGCAGCCCAATTCATGAAATTTTGTACCTCTCCCTTGAGTATTGCCAACTGCTGATCAGAGTTTTAGAAGGCCTTCCTCCTTCCATGAGGTCAAATCACCGTCATAACGGCCAAGCAAAAACAAAAATGAATCTCTCGTTCCGAAGAGGATTGAACACGTGGTATTATTTTCCGGACGGCCATGCGCAATTAGACCCCGAGACCCGCGGGATACTCCGTTCCCTCGGAAGATTTCACACATGCTGCTCCGTTCTCTAACGTTGCACTGCCAACGTCTACACGTGTCTACCATGAACAGCCCTGACACGATACCAGTCATTCTATACGGTGAACTTGCCGCCCCCGCCACCCAGAAAGGTGCAGCAACTACGATGCCTGAACAGAAGAGCGGAGCGTTGCACTTGTGGCTCCATATCATCAAGGGCTAGGAAGTCTGAAGCGAGGTATGCGTCGGAGGCTCCTCGGAGCCTCCCAGTGTATCAGTCTCAGCACTTTCTAGACTTGAAAGAGCTTTACTTCCTGCGGTGCTTTTACAGTGCAGCAAGCGATTGTGGATTCGAGGTTGATCTGCAAGCCGTCTAGCCCATTTTTCTCCGTGCTGATTGGCTTCAACATCAACCCTGAAAGATCCAAGGCCTTGTCTACGCTACAATGGAAGTCGTCGTGCTTTGCTCTGGGTTGGTACGTTGTCGAACGATTCCCTCGGGGAGCAGGAGTGGAGGAACAGGCTACAACAATAAGTCCTGTCTGTGAACTTTGAAGGCTTTGCGGTAGAGCGGCGTGGTGGACTTGACACCGCCCTGGAGACGTAGGGCATTCGAAGTCTCACTATGATGACACCAGCCAGCAATACAAACTCCAGTCCCGAGCACAAGCTATTTGATTGAAAAAAAAACCTCCTTGTTCAGATTCATCATTCGATACACCGTCCATCCAGGTCTTCGAGCCGTCCTAGAGGATCCTGGTCCGAAGAGTAAAATCCTCTTTGAATCGGTTTTGTGTGGTTTGAATCGATTTGAAGCGCTTTGATGCGCTTTTCAACTTATGTGCCTCGTGCTAGGAGTTCTTCTATCCATCGTCGTCTGCAAACCCGGGTGACGGCTCGAAATCCTACACTTGCGCCTGTCCCTAGTATTCCAGTCATCCGTCTCTGTCACCTACTCTTAGTTGTCACCTCTGAGCAAGTCAGTACTAGTAACTCGTGGTATTGCCATTTCAGTCATGATGGTACTAGTATCACTGCATCAACGAATTTCCATTACACTTGAAAGTGATATGCAAACGACAACGTTCTGTACCCTCTTCCTCTCCATAGTTATAAATACCTCCTGGTCTCTTGCTACTTCTCGACATTTTTGTTCTTCTTCATACCCACCACTTTGATTCCACGAAAACAATCCTCCTCTTATCCACGACTACACTACCAGCAAGAGACTTGAAAATATTATTCAAAGTCCTTTCAACGATACCTCACTCAGAAGAGAATGGCAGGCACCTCTGGTAAGCTTAGTTTAATCTTCCACTATTCATATGCTATCGGATAACTCACTATTGTGACAACAGCTATCATTTCGCCTGTCGTCGCTCGTGGGCCCAAGGAGCCCAAGCCGGTCCCAAAGCCGAGCGGGGAGCCTCCAATCCCGGGAGTGAGCTAAATCTCCCAGGATGACGGCGGAGGAGGTCACCAGTCGTGGCCTCAACTCTCTACTGTGTTGAGTACTACTGCTCCTCTCACTGCGAAGCAAATTGAGCTCAGCTGCTCAGCTATGGCACATCAGATGGGTTGAGCAACAATCTCCGAGCTTGGCCCATTGCTTTCTCCAAGGTAGCCAGTCCTAGCAAATAGATATCGATATTGAGCCTCAATTCGCTCGCTCCCAGATAGATTGTTGTTTCTACCCGCTTCAAGTAGTGTATGTTCAAACCTGCGCCCAGCATCAAGGCCATACACCTTGATATACTTAAGTGGTTCCACTCAATTGACACCAAACGTCGCTTGATGCCACCGACGTGCAACGGACGGGCAACCATGACGACCCGCGATTTCCCTTTGCTGGAGCTTCTGACATCTGCTTTGGTGTCTTGACGTCCGGCTTAAAGGCGTCCAAAAAAAGCTGACTTCCTCAGTACATAAGTACCATCACCATGAAGTTCGCGGAAGAAGTGTACCGCCAGCCAGCAGAGAAACCTTTTGCCGAGTGCTCGAATCCGTCAAGAACTTTTTCAGCCTTTCCTTGTCATTAGAGAACCCGAGCTTTCTGGCCTTGGGGTCCTCAGATCTTGAACCAAGTTTGGGCGGTTAAGTGGATGTGAAAACATGGAACAAACCCGTCGAGAAAGTCTCACCTGGGGGTAGAACATGCACTTAAATTTTCCCCGATGCAATGTGATCGCCCATACCGAACTCTCTGATGATTCCTGAGTTCCTTCTTCGTGAAAATGACTGATTGGTTTGGGCATAGTGGATATTCCTGTGACGGCGTGAGCTGAGAGGATGGAGTCTATTCTGGCTCCTTCGACCTCGCTGTCTAGGGATTGTAGGTAACGCTGTTTACTCCTGCAAAGTTGATGTGGCCGAACGAAGCCCCATTGCTAGCCTAGAAACCCAAATATCAAGCAGAAGCTCCGTGACAACGAAGGAGGAGTGTCTGTGTACCACGAACTCTTGGAGCCTCGTATAATTGTGGATCAAGGGCACCCAAAGGGCTTTGTGAGGTTTTATTATTCAGCAAGGGTCCGCCATTGGATGCACCGTCGGGTAACTCTGAGGCGCTGTCGTCTCGCTTATGAAGCAGCTGGCGGCTTCATGCGGTGGGGGCCAAGAGGAGCTCATTGTATTGTTGGATGACCAGTGTTATCCTGCGCAAAGAAATTTGTCAGGAGTTTTGACGCAGCTGTTATGATTGCAGCGATGACGGAGTGTATGGCCCTGCTCCAAGGCTGAATACTTGTATATCAAATAACCCGAGCTAAAAGGATGGCTTGGAGAGCGTTGGTGTCGATGGTATTTGAGAAAACCCGGACTCAGCCCCGTGGCTTGCCAAGATCTGCGCTTTTCTCAATCAGGCCTCATGAGACTGGCACTTGAGTCCAGACGAAGAGTTCAAGTCAGCAATTCCTCGACCTCCTCGACCTCTCACATCCTGCAGCTCATGACGCGGCCGCCCTCGCTAGACCCGCAGATGAAGTCCAGCGTTTGTGCTCAATCACAGACGCAGTAGGTAAGCAAGGACAGGTGCTAGGTTCCCCCTGGCCCCCTGTCCCTCGAAGTCAGCCACAACGCCCCAACGCTCACAAGCTCGCGCCTGATCGGGTATGCAGGCTGCTAGTGCAAATTCTGCTTCAGGTTAAGCTCCTCGATACAGTCGATCGAAAAAAGGGATCCCCGGCCTGCAATTCCAAAAGCCTCGACACCATCTGTTTAGGCACTAGACCTGCCATTTGGGGCTGAGAGCCTGTTCCCCGAGCCCACGAATGATCGTCTTTACATCGATATGTCTACAGTCTTGGCCATGTGGAGCCCAAAGGAGCCAGCTGGAATGGGTATGAGCATGTCCAGTGGCCATGAAAGAAACCCACAAACCCTCGCAAAGGGATTCCTTATTCACCAGGGTTGATATAAAGTCTAGACCTCCCATTTGGGGCATCAATGGACGAGGTGCAGATAGTCGACTTTTCTTCATCAAAATGGTTGGCGTTCCTGGACGCAGTAAAGGCTGTCATACTTGTTTGAAAAGGAGGGTCAAGTGTGGTATGTATAGCCGTTTTGATCACGTCCTTTCTAGACCAATGGCTGACACTCGTGGCGTCTTAGATGAAGCTCGTCCGTCCTGTAAGCGATGCGAAAAGGCCGGGTACTCATGCGCTGGGTATGAGAGGAAGTTGGAGATGCGTTTCCACACCTTTGCAGACCAGACAGAACCTGCGGTGTCGCCATCGACAAAGACCAGCAAAGACGTGCCCCTGACGACGACTGGAGATTTCCCCGAGAATCTTGTACTCAGGTCCAATAACAGTCCGCCAAGCTCCAGTTCCATACCCCAGGAGCTGAGCTTCGTGGCATTCCGAGACAATATCCAGTTCTCCTATCTCTTTGACAATTTCGTGTGGAGCAGCTATGGCTCGCCGTGGCTCCAGATGGCTGCCGAGGGAAAGCTTGACGCCCTGTCGCTGGAGGCGTGCCGGGCGTTCTCGCTCAGCATTTTCGGGAGGCACCATCGGCAAGCCGAGATAGAAGTAACCGGCGCCGTCCATTACGACAAGACAGTCCGAGCCCTATCAACTCGACTGTCGAATGTGGGGGCGCCGGGTAGTGAGAATCTGATCGTACCTATCATGATCCTTCTCATGCACTCCGTAAGTTAGCTGCAACCCTCGCTTGCCAGGGTGCCTCTGCATGCTTACCAAACACATAAAAACAGTCCAGCACCCCAGATCCTCAGGCCTCTGCCTTCCACATCCAAGGCCTGTTGAAACTCATCCAGATATGTGGGCCAGAGAGGTTCGCGACGGGTCCGTTGAGGTTTGCTTTCGAGTCATGTCGGGCGACGCTGGTAAGCTGATGGACAAAGTCACGAGAAACCATCCACTATGGGTGCACTGACGTTTCGGGCTGCTGCAGGTCACAATCTCACTGATCACCAGGACCAGAACCTTTCTGGAGCAGCCAGAGTGGCTGAGCGAACCATGGGCCACGTGCGGCGAATACAACAAAAACCCGCAGAACCGGCTCGTCGACATCCTGGTGCACGTCCCTGGGTTCCTGCAAGACCAGGCGCAGCTTGAACAGGCGCCTTCGGAGCAGTTCCGGCTCGAACTCATCCAGCGGATTGAGTACCAGATCGCCAAAGCCCATAACTGGCGGTGGCAGTGGGAAGAAATGAACCCGACTGTCGCGTGGGAGGTGGACCCGGAGACGCTGCCGGCCGACCGAACCCTACTGAGCAGCCAGCCGCGGCCGGTCCGGAAGGTTTTGGTCTTCTCATCCTTCACCAAGGCCGCGGAGTTGTCTCTGTACAACGCCATCTTGCTGTTTTTGTTGGGCCTGCTGTGGACCTTGAAGCCGCCCGAGGGGGAATCCCCGCCGTCCGTGCGCCTCCCCTGCTCCTCCTCCTCGCAGTCCGCCTCCTCCTCCGCCCTCTTCCTGCCCGGCGACGTCGACTCGCTAGTCGAACCCGCCATCGAGATCTGCCGCGCGTTCGAGTTCCAGCTCCTCGCCTCCAAAAACAGTCGCGACTCGGCCCTGTTCTGGCTATTTCCGCTAGGCCTCGCCAGCAAAGCCCTCGAGGACAACGTCGACTACCTGGCCTGGATCAAGAACATGCTCGACGCCTCCCAGGTCACCCGCGGCTACGGCACCGGCGGCAACACCTTTGGGTTTGGCTTCTACAGGCTGCCCAAGATCAGGAGGAAGAGGTCTAACGAACGGCCCTTTATCGAGCCCCCTTACGACTCTGACTCGGTCAGGCAGTTGTCTGAGGGTTCATCTTCGCCTGATGAATTCGTATGAGGAGGCGAGGTGTGGAGGTCGGTCTGGATTTTGGAGACATGTGAGCTGGGATATGAGAGTTGGGGAAGAGGACTGGTCACCTGCAGTGGCGTTGGGCACAAGAGTTCGAACGGCATGCTCCCTTGATGCTTCCTTACCTTGTAATGTGGCATTGATGCATTTTGGATGTGGGATGGAAATCAGGACGGAGGTGCAGCGAAGGAGTACGGTGAACGAGGTAGTTTTGAAGGTCACTTGACACTCCGGGGGTACAATAATTCAAATTGTCGATTTGTAAAACTTGCTTCCTCAAAAAAAAGTACTCAATCGTTCAATCCCAAGATAATACGCCACATACACTTTGTGTTCCAGTCGAATTGGATTCATTATGCTGCACCAGCCGCGTACACGCGCTCAGGTTCCTGCGTGGTTGAGGCCATCATGTTCTGGATGCCTTGGGTCAAATCAACGCCCACTCTCTCCTTCGCCAGGAGATCGACCAGCAATGGACTCGGCTTGCTATCCCGGTAAGGCTGAGACGCCGCCTGGCTCTCCCTGTACTTCTGTACATTGTCCAGGTACATGTCGAACAAGTACGACGAGTCTTGCGGGCCACCCTTGGCTTCCGGATGGAACTGCGTGGAGAAAATGGGACGGGATTCGTGGATCAGACCTGTAAATCACACATTGTAAGTAATTTGGGGATTCTCGCTTGGTCAGCAGGGCAATGGTGGCTTACCTTCGTTAGAGTTGTCGTTTAGGTTGAGGAAGTAAGGCTTCCAGCCCTTTGGCAAGGTTGCTGCATCAACGGCATATCCATGGTTCTGGCTGGTAATGTGACATTTCCCGGTCGTAAGGTCCAGGGCTGGGATGTTATGTGCTCGGTTGCCATACTTGAGCTTGATGGTTCTGGCTCCGGCAGCCAAAGCGAGCAGCTGGTGACCCAAACAGATGCCCATGATAGGGACTTGAGACGTCTCCATCAACTTTCGGAGGTGGTAGACGGTATCTTGGCAGTGGGTCGGGTCACCAGGACCGTTGGAGATGAAGACACCATCGAAGTGGTGGGCAACCTTGTGGATGGGATAGTCGAACGGGAAGACAGTGGCACTGGCACCGCGGCTGACGAGACTGCGAAGGATATTCTCCTTGACTCCACAATCGATCACTGCGACGTGGGCGTTTGGAGACGGAGCGCTGACATGGAAAGGAGCCTTGGTGCTGACTTTTCGGACAAGGTTGATCTGCTCAGGATCAATGAAAGCCTCGTCCTGGTCTTGGTCATATTCCTCTCCAATGGTGATTCTTGCCAGACTAGAACCTTGCTCCCGCAGGTATGTCACAATGGCTCGGGTGTCGACACCACTGATGGCTGGAACACCTTCCCTCGCGCACCATTCACTTAGACTCTCCACAGCAGTCCAGTGAGAATACCTCTCCGCCACATCCGCAACCACCACTCCCACGGCTTGAATGTTTGGGCTCTCAAAATATTTCAGAAGGCCGTGCTCATCACGGACACTGGATGGAACACCGTAATTGCCGATCAAAGGCTGGGTGAAGACCAAGATCTGGCCGCGGTAGGAGGGGTCGGTGAGGGACTCTGGGTATCCGACAAGAGAGGTGGTGAACACAGCTTCTCCTGAAACATTGCTCCGCGCACCAAAGGATATTCCATCGAAGATAGGGCCATTTCGGATGGTGAAAGTCGCCCTTTCTCGAGAAGGTTGGGTGCTTTTGAACTGCTTGTGGACGGGCAGGTGTTGCTGTCGAGGAGTATTGTCTGCCACAGTGGCCAGGGACCGAGCTCGCAGAGCAGAGGCGCTCGAGTAAATGTTGGCCGCTTTGGGCACAAGGGTTGACTGTTTCAAAGCCCTCGAAAACATCTTGAAATATTGTGACTCGTGTGTTTTTCCTTCTTCCTGACCGCTAGTTTGCCTGGGCCTTCCACAAATGATCTACCATCGGTGTTAGAGGAGTCAAGAAGTCCAAAAGGGAGGTCAGTAGTTACCACTAATGTAATCCTAAAGTCGATATATTAGCATGAGATTGCAAATGACGTTGGTATTGCAGTGACACAAGGAAACGAGGTGCTTATCAGTGGGCTGGCGGGGACGACTTCAAGGGTAGAATATGACTTACTTGAGAGGTGAAGATGCTGGGGAAGCACATGAACGCGATGGCGATTCTCGTGCAGGCAAGTAGAGACAGAAGTATCAGAGCCTTTCAAAGGCAAGTCTTAGTTCTCTGCAAGGTCGTTTGCACAAAATTCTTTCTTCGCAACAAAAGACGTAGTTCTGTGGAGATGGAGCAGGGAAAGATTGGTGGACGAGGTCGATTGGACTGGGCAAAGATTTCAGCGCAGGCGGCGCAGGTGGGAGACCCCATTCGACCAATCGCCAGCACTGTAAAAATTTATCTAGCCCAAGCAAAAATTCTGCGGCGGGGTGACGAAATGCATCCTGCCAAATTTTGCACCCAGTATCGTCAGTAGAACAATACTCATTTTTCATCACCGAGAGAGACAGCAGTGCATCAAATGTTCCCATCGTGATTCTCTCCGCAGTCGACGGGCTCTGGCACTGAAGGGGCTTTTTCGCTGCAACTGCAGTTCACGTGACATGTATTATGTCAGCTGCGGCATGTCACGTGCCATGGCCATTTGGGTCTCTGCACCGTGCGCTATTCACATTCAGATCAACTCATTCTTACTCTTGTTGTAGAAACAAACATACCAGGTCAGGTGCTAACAACTGAAGCATGTCGCTCTTTGGCTGGAAGCTATCTAGGGCCATGGCATCCTTCGAACAATGTCCCCGCCATCTGGACACACACAGCTCAGAAGAAGATGGACTCTCCTCGGCTGAATTGAGGCCTCGCGGTCACCGATGTGCCCATCCCAGGTGACCCTTCTCGCTCCTTTCCCTTGCCAGAAGCTGCCGGTGGCAGCACGAGTGGGCTAGCTGTTGCTGCCCGAGCTTGGCCCTGCACCGCCGCCGCCGCCATTTCTGCCTGGTACTCTTTAACCAGACCCGACCACACATCTACCACCTGCAGATTCCTAGGCCGAGGATCCTTGGCCAGCTCCAAGTCGTACCCGGTCAGACCTTCAATGACCTGGTTCTCCAGCTGGAGCATTTGCGTCTTGTCTTCCTCTGGTAGATCCCAAAAGTCTGGCTTGTACGGGATGTCCAGAGGCTCGGCCAACAATTCCGCCTGAAATCGCTCACGCAGAGCCTCAACCTGTGCCTGATACCAATCACGAAGGTATCCAAGCTCTCGGATACCGGCCATTTTGTTTGCAGCCCACCACCTGCAATGACCTAAGTTCGACTCGGCTTGCTCCCGGCCGACGCTGAGCTCCAGATTGTGCTTTTGAAGAGCTTCAATTTGGTCATGGAGCCGGTCAACCTCTGATCGGATCTGCCGACGAACAACTTCCGACATGGGCCCAAAGGCTTGCGTCTCGCATTGGGCTCTCCATTCAGCAGCATGGCGCTGGGTCTCGGCGAGCTCTGCCTTCGCTGCTTCTAACTGATTTTCCGCACCCTTCAGCTGCGACTGGAGGGTGTAATTTGTTGCATCAAGGCGAATTTCGCTCTCTTGCAACTTGGCCATGCGCTCTTCAAGGCGAGCGACTTCCTTCTGCTGCTTGTCCTTCAGGATCTCCATTTTCGACTCGCGGTCTGATATATCGAGCGCCGCGGCCTTCAAGGTTTCCTTTGTCTCATCCATGTGAGACGCAAACTCGACGAGCTCATCATCCAGGCCTGGAATATCTTCAGTTGACAAGCCTGCCCTAACTCTAACAAGATCAGGGAGCATCCTCGTGAAGTTTTCAACCTTCCCTTGCCAGATCTCGAAGTTCGCAGAAAGTCTCCCACATTTGCTCTGGAGCATGTTGTTGTCCCGTCGAAGTTGGGACTCTCGTGCCTTCTGTTCCTCGGCAGCTTCGAACATCTGTTTTTTGTCTGCAGCGAGTTCGGCACATGTTCGCTGCGATATCTCAAAAGCCTGACGAAGGTCTCTCAGTTCGTTCGGCTTGCAGATGGTGGGATCTTCGATCTCCCGAGGATCCTGAGCATGCTTATTTGCAAAGTCCTGGAGCAAAGTTCTGTTGTACTCTTCCACTTGGACAACACGGGCATTTGCATCATTCTTTTGCTGGGTTGCCTGGGAGACCTGCTGCTTCAGCTCCTGGGCCGAATGCTGCAGATTTTGAAGCTGGCTTGTCACCGCGATCAATTGTTGCCGGAGCAGGCTGTCGACCTGGCTGGTATTTCCAACCAACTGACTGTTGGCCAATTCTTGTTGCAATTGCTGCAGTTTCCTTGCATAAGAAGAGGCCTTTGTCCGCTCCTGAGCAATGAAGTGGTCTTTTTGGGCCAAGTCCTGCATGGCTTTGCTCAACCTCTTGGCAGAATCATCCGCATCTGCTTCGAACATGTCGCGCTCATTGTTCAGATGACGAAGTTCCGCTTTGAGGTTGTCAGCCTCTTCTTCCCTCTCGAGCAGCTGCAATCTAAAACCTTGAGCCAGAGACTCAAGGCGGCGCAACTCTTCTTCAAGCCGTTGCACCTTGCAGGCAGGCTTTGTGGGACTTGGGGTATTTCCCACTTCTTCTGGGGCCATTGCAAGATCCAGATGGGCTGATCCGGAGGCAAAGCACTGTGACATCACTGGACATAATCAGACTCTATTCCAAGAGAGGTAAGTGGTTGGACTTACCATGGTCCAAAGCTTCTGATGGAGACACCAATCTCGGTTGCATTGGGATGAGATGTAATGATGTGCCCTCCAATATCCGGCAGGGCCTGGCTGACTTTATGAAACCACACACATCATTGACTGTCCTTGCGAACAGCGAATGCTTCTCTTCAGTTGTCTTGGAAGGAGGTGAAGCGTTGCGGAACTTCTCCCCCAACACTGCTGCCACAACGGAAGAGTATGGACAGAAGACTTCTTTGGTAAGGATGTTTACCCTTTCGCAGGGACGAAAGGCTCTATCTTGGAAGAGGAAGCGCCGTGTGGTTGGTACTTCAGGCTGTGCATGATAAGACGAGCCTTTTTGAGGTTTGGTACCAAGGGTTTGGGTCTGGATACCGGTCAGTGGGTCTGGAAAGCACCTATGTTGCAGCTTACCTTGTAGGCGGCGTTGTTGAGCATCGTGAAGAAAGTTCCGAAGACCATCTTGACGTCTGATACAGATGTTGATCTATTGCTGGTAAGTGCTGAGGTGGAAAGGTGGGATTCTTGATGAGGCGCAACAAATCTGAAGCAGGAGATGTTGTTGATGAATGGATGTTTTAAGAATGGAAGAATGTTTCCTTGGTCTGAGAACGATATTGGATCCGGGGGTTGTTGGTGGAAAGCCAGGAGAGAAGGAGGAGTGGGATGACCGGGAGACGAAATAAGTATTCCAAAAATGGACGCGACCGACTGCCTACGAGTGCATCCATGCGTGGTGCATTCGGACGCTGCCTCCAAAAGTCACCATCAGGCGCGCGAAACGGTTGCTGTGAGAACGGGTCAACTGTGAAGACAGAATACCACAACTGCCATGTGATTGACGGTCAGAGTGAATATGTCTTCGGGTGCATTGCAGCGGAGACTGGAAGAGGCGGAAAAAATTCACCTTCTACCACGCCGTAACGCCTCCATCGCAACCAATTCGAATGCCATCGCAAAGGGTTAAAGCCACCGGTAATCCCGGGCTTTTTTCGATGTATATTTGACGGCAATCAATGCGTGCTACGGCAGGAGTCAAGACACGCACAGTTGGAAGGTAAGCTGCATCCGGGAGACTGGCATGCTCGAGAAGTCTGGGTATACAACAATATACATATACTCATGAACGCTATTCTGTTGGCCTCTTGTTTTCCGCAGATATTTTTCTAGTTGAGCAGTCATTGTTTGCAACTAACAACGAATGATTGCTTCAGCTCGCCGTCTTGGCTCAGACTGGCCATTTGCAGCACGTTATTGTGTCCCGAACTACAAAGGATTGGAAACTCAACGTTGGCCACGAAAAGCTTACCAAAGCCGCAGTCAGAAGAAAAAGCAATAATGTTCATTGAAGAAAATTGAAGAAACCGCCTGAAGCTGAAGCAACTGGGAGACTCCATCTCACGTTGGTCTTTTCGCATTGTGGTACCCCCTTTTTCACTCAGCCTCGTTCGTGCCGACTCAGACTCTAGTCTCCTTGCTGCACCAGGGGCCCTCTATGCGGCGGCAATTTTGGGCAGGGGCCAAAAATTGCAACGAGCAGGGATGGGAAGTATAAGGCCTGGTCTGGGCGTAGAAGAAGCGGTGGGACCTACCTCTCTTTCCGCTATTCTAAACATCTTGCTGGGCTCAAAGAAGAAGGATAATAAAGACAAGCTTGTCGCAGAAGCTAATCGACCCAACATCGCATTCAAGTATTTACTATCGTCCTCAAGATTCTGACCTCCGGCCCCCTTTGGATTTGTGCACAGTATCGAAACAGATCTCCTCATCATGGGTCATCAAACGTCGAAACCGATCCTTCCAATCTAATCCAGAACCTTTAAACACCGAGGCTGCCATAATTCACTTTCCAAATCTCCCCAAGGATTGCGGCCACGCGGTGGTCCTCGCCGGGGTGGTGGCCCTCTGCCCCGTCCAGGAGGAGGTCGGTGGTGTGGCGGCGTTCGACCACCGCCAGGTTGGCCTCGAGGCTCAAGGAACAACAGCGGCCAGATGGGGATGAAGCAGAACTCGTCGACGGCGCAGACGCGGTCACATTGCATTTCATCGGGAAACCAGCCGAGCCAGGCGCGCAGCAGGGAGATCGAGGCACTGTGCTGTGTGACCAGGGTATGCAGGACTGATTGGGGGAGGGTGGGAATCGGGGCGGAGCTATTGGCGTGCTGGTAGTATGTTTGCCAGGTTTGTTCGACGGAGAAGGCTAGAGAGAGGGTTGTGTTGCATATGGCTGAGAGAACGGTCTCGAAGATGTTGACGAGGGATTGCTCTGTTGGGAGCAGGGCAGCACGGAGGTCGCGGAGGGCGGATGTCTGGCTTGTCGTACAGCGGGCGTGGATGGCTGGGAGGGAGGAGGCAGTCAGCGGGTAGGTCAAGTAGGGCATGAGCATGGCGTGGGATTTCGAGCGGAGGGAGCCGATGTACTCCCTTACGAGTGTCGTGTTGGTCGTGTTGGACGGCGGGGATGTAAGGACCTGGAGGACTTGGGTCAGGGGTTGAGAGAAACGGGAGGTTATGTCGACTGCCTTTTGAGCCCAATCGATGCCTGTACAGGACGAGGAGGAGTGGTTGAGCGCGCGGAGCGAGTGGAGGACAGCGTCGCTCATCATGGCCGCTTCGTAATTCGTGATCTGGGAGAGATTATGTGAGCGGCGCCGGGTTGAGAGCTCCTTCAACGCGAGGCTGTGGTTCCCGCCGCGTCTGGCTGGGCCTTTCCAGCTTCCGTCTGCTGTGAGGTTCAGACGGGTCCTCTCCTCTTCAGCGAAGGCGGAAGAGAATTCCTTGAGCATGGAGTCATAGTAGCTGAGAAATCCACAGAAGTTTGGCTTGACCCGCCCTTCGGGTCGACCTGTAGATGATGAGCCTGAACTGCCCCGATGCCAGGTTGCACTGCGGTACCATTCGAAGCTCTGGGACTGCAGAAAGGGTTCTCGCTCGGCTTTGCTCCGCCAGTTGGGTGGGAGAGGCATGTCTGGACCTCCTGTTGGGATTTCCGAGGGTGGACCGCTGCTTGAGTTCGGCGTAGCATGGCTGGTTCGTGTTCGCGTGGCCAGCATCTCAGGGAGCATGAGACCCGTGAATCGTCCTTCCTCCATTGGCATCTCTTCATCCTCCGATCCATCGTCCGCGAACCCTTCCGGCAATAACGGCGCCGACACATTGACATGGCTGACCAGCCTCAAGGACGGGCTAGTGAAGTTGCACCAAATCATCTCAAACCCGGCATTCATACGCACGACGCCCTCAATACCCCAACCCAGCCCTCCCAGCTCGTTCCTCCTTACCCAATCACACAGCGCCGTGGCCCGCGCATACTCGTCAAAGAGTCCGCGCCACCCTTCCCCCCCAGAGGAGCAAGTGGTGTTGCCGCACAGAAACACCATCTGCGAATCCAAGGGCCCCGAGCCCATCAGCGCGGCGGACATGCCGTCGAAATAGAGAGCCTGCACGGGCCTGACGTTCTGGTACGTCAGCAGGTGCGAGTTGCGGCTGGAGCCCATGATGCCGTAGGACATTTCGGCGTCGAACGCGAACCACTCCGGGCTCTGCGGCAGCTTTTCGTCTCGTCGCCCGTGGTAGAGGTTCGTGAAGGCCGGGATCGAGCACGGCACGATCGAGTGGCCGTTGGGGATGTACGTGTTAGGCCATTGTTCCAGTAGATAGCGAAGGGAGGAAAAGATATGGGGCGCAGTGGATGTGAAGTCAAAGTTCGGGTGGTGCGCATAGATCGTGGATGTGAGAGGTGTTTGTTGAGCGGTTACCCCTAGATGCAGGACGAGGAGAGTGAAGCATATGCTGAGCCATGTCGGCATGCGGGCTTGTACCCGGGACAGAGCCATAGTCACACCTGAGAGAATGCCACCTCCTCTTGTGAGCTGCTCAGAGATTGGTTATACTTCCATCATGTTGCCGCAACAGGTGTATAGGAGAGCTATATATATATACCCAGGTATCATTCTGTATCTACTCCAAACCTTGTATCTTTGATGCTTATCAGTCTCGATAAGGCTGACGCGGCCGGGGAATCGCATCACGTGACGGCATCATACCCCTATATTGTCCTTCTCGAGATTCATTGGAATGATTGGGAGGTACTCTCTTCTATGAAGGACTGATAAGACATTTTATGTGTAATGGCAGACTTTCATTGGTCATGGCGCTCGAACGAAGCGAAAGAAGTGGCGGAGACGAGGCTCGCAAGGCTCGCAAGGCTGAAACAACAATCATCCCCTGGTTTCCCCCTTTTCTCTACTTCTGGCCCCCCAACACAGTCAATTTCATCATAGCCTAGCTCTTCTGCACCATTAGACTGCGCAGTTCACTGCGCCCGACTTGACAGTCTTAAAACATGAGCCCTCACTCCAGCATCGGCCATCTTCCGGAGCATGACTTTGCCATGCAGCCTGGCTTGCTCCTCTCAGCATATTCTGTGAGAGGCGAAGGGCGACCTCCTTGACTTTTGCCGAGCGAGGCTCCTTGACAGACTGGGACACATTCGTTGGAAGAGCATACCATGGCCAACGCATCGGACGTCATAACCTACATCGGCGTCCCACTCGCCGTCCTGGGTGTCCTACCCATCCTGTACACATTTATGCTCGCCATCCTCACCCAGCGCCGGATTCGTGCCGCCCTCGTCCACCACGGCCACAGACCTGTGAGCACGACCCGCCCGCACGATGGCTTCACCATCCGCAGCTCCCCCATGACCAGCCTGATTGAAGTCGAATTACCTCGCTACACTATTGCCCCTCTTGAGCGTGGAAATGAGGATTACTGGAAAACCTCGTCCGAGGGGAGAGATGCCTCAGAAGAACATCACCATCTCCTCACACTGGATCGCGCAGAAAGCACTCTTTCCATGATCGAAGAGGGGCGCGTGCGTGGCTTTTTGCGAGGTGGCAGCTGGCGGGGCTTCCACTGGAAAAAACTCATTGTCGGTAAAAAATTGTACAGGATCCAATACGAGGACGAACTGAGGGAGCCGCCTGCGGAGGTGAGCTTCGAGGAGCTGGTGGTGTTTTTGTTGGATTGGGGTGCCGTGCCTGAAGGCATGGGCTGGGAGAAATTGAGGAGTGGCGGGTTGTGGACGCCGAGTGGGACGGTGTTGCTCAAGAAACCCGAGGATGATGGAGTGGAGGGAGACGAGGTCACTAAGAAGAGAGGAAGGGGCGTAGACTGGGTGCTGCGAACAAGCATGCCTGACGAGAGTGACGGGATATTGAGTCTCACAGTACGATGGACCCAAGACGAAACGAGCTCCGCCAGAGACATGAGAGGCGCAGAAAGCTTACCCCCCGGTTGGGGACGTCTGACGCAGCCTGCGCCGCTCGAAGCTAGTGAGAAACGCAAAGAGAATGACAAAGACCTACCTGCGCGGATCGAGAATTTGAAGTCGGCAAACAAACACAGCATGGACAGCACCAGCTTCCGGTTTCACACCGAAGATAACCGCGTACAAAGGCTCCTCTGGGAACATAACAACCTCGAAACGGGCTTCGTCTGCGCACCGTTCCGAAGATACGAGCAATCCTCAGCAGGGTTGTGGTTTACTTGTGCGGCATCGGCTTTACTTGCACACAAAAATTCCACCGGCGGCGGTCTCTGGGCGTTCGAGACTCCCACAGAGATCAAGACGTTTGTGCGCAAAGAAACGATCCCATGCGGTGTGATGGTCCTCCTCGGCCTGCTCTCGGAAAACGACGCACCACAGTGGTCATCTGAGAAGGACGACCATAACGACGGCATGCATCTGGCGCAGAAACACCATCAATGGTTTCAAGCTCGACTCGCTGCCGAGAGACTGGAGGCCACCATGCCACCTGAACAAGCTAAGATCCACAAGATGAACAGGGAGGCAAATGAGAGACAGCAGCGGCACAGTGACATGATGGCCGCGCTTGACGCGAAAAAGGAGAGGGAAGAAAGGAGGATCGTTGACGCGATCGCGAGTCCGAGGATGGACATCAAGCGCGTCAGCGAGGCATGCCTGACGTGGTTGATAGAGAGGGGAGAAGTCGGAAGGGAATGGACTGTGAATGATCTAGCCGAGGCAGTTTGCTATCTAATGGTGGTGGATTTGCAGGATTCTCCTCCTAAATACCAAAGCGAAGAAGTCAAAGTGGAAGAAGAACAAGAACAAGGCGAAGCCATGAGGATCATCGGGATCCTGGACGAATGGATGGCCTGGTCAACCGCTGGAGGGATGAAGAAACAACAGTTCCGGCTGCTGGAGAGGGGAAAGGATAAAGTGGCGTTTTGCTTTGCCGTCGCCCTGGTCGCGGTCGTGGCAGAGGCCATGAGTTCGAACAATGCGGTCATGGGCAAGGTGGGATCGGATATGCTCGAGTGTATGAGGTTGTGGAGGAAGGTTCGCTTAGGATGAGAGGAGCCACCTAAGGAGAGCTACTGGCGTGAATGGGATCAGCAATGACATTGTCGACTTTTGGGCGAATCGACCCATTCGGTAACCCTCCAGGACTGACAATGTGTCGGTCCTTAGGTAGTAGCTGAGCGAATCCTGTATAAAGCAGTTCACGGAATAGAACAACAATCTCGCGCTATTTTCGGTACATTTCTGGTGGACATTCGAAGTAGCGAATAGTCTGGGCTCCCTTCCTCGCCAAAACCCCAATTTCTCTGCGCCATGCCTGAAAAAGCTAGTATTTCGGAAATACCCCCTTCAACGGAGAACTATTCTTGGCCTTTTTGCTTTCGCAAATAATTATTATCAACCTCGGCTTGCCCGATCTACCCTAGGTACCTACAGTAGCTTGAGCTATCGAGTCATTAATTAATGAAACCTTCAAACGTCGAACTGGGGCTCCGTCCTTCCTTGAGAAGTCTCGTAAGGGAACAGCAAATGTGGACGCCTACGCCTCTTCAGCCTCCGCTCCATCAAGCTGCTGGGAAAGAGCACCCCCACCGTTGGAACGACTACCGCCACTGCAGGCGGTTGTGTGGATCCAAAGAATTGCGGATTCGACTAGGAACAGATTTTTTCTTGCACACTCACGTCCACAGGCGGTTGACGCAGGGATTCCGCCCTCCCAAGGCCCCATCGGTACAATCTGTGGGTATGCGAAAAAGTTCCAAGCTGGGGAGACGCACTGAGCAAGTCCCCGGAGGTGTCTCAAGGGGTGGGTGTCCGAGTAAAACAGAGCAGGTAAATCCCAAAAATGTCTTTGATACCTACGGGACCACTCACCACAAAAAGCAACACGCTTCGTCCATGTTCAAAAAGGAACAAAAAGAAGATGCGAGGCGTGCAAGATCCGTGAATCGAACACGGGTCTCATCGATGGCAACGATGAATTCTACCATTGAACCAATCTTGCTTTTGTTATCCTTCACTCTTCCAGCCCGGGGACTGGAGGAGGGCTCAATTCATCGATTTTGATTTTTTCTGTGTGTGAATTGTTGGGTCGTATTTGGAGGACCTAATTCATATCATTTTCATATTGGGATAGTGGGTCAGTGGGAGAAGGAAGATGGTGCGGTGGGTACCTGGGACATGGATGGATGAGGGAGGGTGCGGCTTAGGTACCTAGGTACGAGTAATGAGATGGGGTGGGACGAGGAAACATGAACGACATTATCGCAACATCTGTGAGGATCTGTAGAGATGTGCTCGGCTCAGAAATTGAAAGTACTGGATTGATAAAATGGCCTCGTCAGGAGGAACCCGCCCAATTGGACAATTTCTACATGTCGTGCGGCGCCGTTCGTAGGCTTCAAATATGTGCCCTCCCAATACCTTTCCCAAGGGACCAGTTGATACGCACCGCTCATGACCAAACCCGCAAGACCTAGGAATGAATCAAATGGCCCACAGCTATGACCGTCCGAGGACTCTCTTCAAGACCTCGCCCAGCTTCTCAGCGCAGTCATCCCGTAGACCCATTGATCGCCATGCGACAAACCGATCAGGCCTGACAAGCACGCATCCATCTTCCTCGACTTCTCTCTTACGCTCCCTGTTCACGAGACAAGTCAGCCACGAAGCTTCGAATCACACGCCGGGAAGCACTTACCAATCCCGATAAACATCGACCCAATCCTGTCCCCATCCGATCGTGTGGGTGTTAATCTCCACTCCGAGCTCCTTGCCAACCTTCTCTGCAGCCTCGATCCACTTCTCGCCCCCAATACCAGTCAGCAGACAGAATTGTCCATGTCCAGCCAGGTCAATCGTTGAAGTGTGGTCCTTCACGGGAATGGTCCGATTCAGCCACGCATGAGGAAGTCGATGGCCCGGGTAAGTGCTGACTTTGTGATGCAGGATTGGGTCTTCGGGCCATTCGGGCTTGGGCGTACTAGCCTTGATTTCATCGTCAAGGTACACGGCTGTTGATTCATACCTGTGATTCATCTCGACGCCGATACCGTGGAATTCGTGACTCGTCCCTTCGATTGCCGCATTGACCCGTCTCCGCCGTTCTCGGGCCTCAGGTGTGGCTGTCTTCAGGCTGTTAAAGATCTTCATTCTCTCCTCGACTGTTTCCTCCATAAGACCCATTTCTCTCCAAACAGGGACGTGGTCTCGGATACCCTGGTTCGCGCGGGTAATCACACCCAAGCCAACAGGCTGCCGCTCATGACTGAATGTCTCGAGAATTGCAGGAGACGCAAGGCCCTGAGTGACGTATTTGATTTTCCACGCCAGGTTGAACGCATCCTGCACGCAGGTGTTGGATCCGAGACCATTGAAGGGAGGATGCCTGTGCACAGCGTCGCCTAGGCAGAAGATGTTGCCATCGGAGTAGTACTCTGCCACAATCTCGTTGATGTACCATTTAGAGATGTCAAGAATTTCCAAGGGGAGGTCGTCTCGGCCAACAATTTCTTTGCATCTTTGGAGGTATTGCTCACGAGTGGGCTCTTTCCACTCTGTTCCAGGTTTGGGAAAGAGAATGAACATCCACCTGGAAACCTTGGTTAGTAGCTGCTATATGAAGAACGAGGGTTTGACTCACTCATTCCATGGTTTGACCATTCTGATCAGTCCGCTCCAGGCGAAGTCTGGATATTCCTTCTCGGGTTGAAATACCCAGTGCAGGTTACCCTTCCTAGCCTCAACAGAATCGCTAAGATCCACTTTCACCAAGACATTCAAGGCCAATCCCTGGCCCGGCTTCTTGATCAAAGGGATCTTGAGCTCTCGCAGGACTTGGCTCCTTGCTCCATCACATCCAAAAAGATATTGTGAGCGGATATAGTATTCGGTGCCGGTTAATTCGTCTCGGACTCGACTGAGTATTTTTCCGTCGTCTTCTCTCTCGAAATTGACGAAGCTGGTTCGGAATCTGACATCCCAGCCTTGAGCCGACGCCCTCTGAACCAGAATAGGCTCAAAAATCGTTTGAGGCAAGTCGACATGATGACAAGGAGTGGCTGCTTCATATTCCCCGTGTCTTTTCGGGTCATTACCCCACGAATAGATCCGAGCATATTCTTCGCCGGTCATATCATGGCACCAACGGGTATGGACCATGCAGTCGCCCTCAACAGCCTGGGAAAGACAAGTTTGTTCCAAATCAATATCTCGAAGACATTCAAAGGCGGCCGGATTCGTAATGTGCGCCCTCGGTGTCTGTGATGTTGTAGTGGCAGCAGATATCATGATACCTGTCATTGAATAAGGCGGATATGAGAGAAAGCAGGCCAACGAGCCGCCAGCTGGCCCCGCACCAACAATAAGGAGTGGTGTTTCCACCACTTTGGACTTGATCTCGGGCACGCCATTGGTAACCACTGAGCCTGACATATTGGCGTTGGTGACTGAGGATAGATTGTAAGTTCAGTGGTAGGAAGAAAAGATTCGGCCTGATGAAGGATGTGTAGAGTCACTGGACGTCGTCTCATGATTGTCAATATATACGACCAAGGTCACGGAAATACCCCCTTTCCCCAGACTCCACCCATCTCGCATTGCGGGATGGGCAAGGAAGTTTGCGGTCTAGAGGGCCAATAGTTGTCCCACTCCCAAAGGCCGGCAAGGGGTGCCTGGGAATTCGTGCCTTCGGGACCCGTCAAGGGACCTGAATCCCGAAAGTCGCATGGCTCTGGGCTCCGGCAGCCGGGTATGGGACTGCACCAGTGGCTCGGGAAAAGGATTGTGGTCATGGCTGGACGAACTATGGCTCGAAACCGTTCAAGTGCAGTTGGTGCTTGCAAAGCGTCTCGTAAGCGATTGTACATCTAATGTAAGATGTGATTTGCAGGTGGCATGAGGGCATAGCGGGTGTCCTGGGACTTGATGGAGGTGGTGGCCCAGAGGGCGGGACGGATCTGGGTCTCTACCAACTGCGAGTCATTGTGTACCTGCGCCCCGTGACATCATGCATCGGCCACTGCACTCCGCAACCTCAACCGCATCTTCTCTCATCATTGCTTTTCATCTGCGTTGCCGTCCAGCTCCTTCGAAGCCTTAGCAATCACAATTAGCCTGTCTGCTAAGAGGTCTCTCTTCCATCTATCCACTGTGCTCCGGATCCCCAGCCCGACTTTCCACTCCCCGCGCCTTTCATAGTTGCCTCATCAACCAACTATGCTGCTGCGAACCGTGATACGACCCTCCCTCTCCTTTCCCTCAGTCTTGAGATCCATATCCGCTCCTCTAGCAAGACCGGCTTTCAAGCGTCCTGTTCTCGTTGCATTCGGCCTCACGGCTTCCCTTCCCTTCATACATCCCTCGTCCGTCATCAGACTCGACTCTTCACCTTATTCACCATCTCCCGCAGGTGCCGCTGAATTTAGCAGCTCCTCCTCCTCGTCCTCAAATTCCCGCGAAGCCAAAACTCCCCTCACAAAAGATGGAAAGACGATCAATCCTGCCGCTGTTAAACAAATAAGTTTCGGTTCTATTCTAGGCCTGGCTGCGGGAGTGGTCGTGTCGGCCTTTTCCACAAGCTTAACGTTACTGATCGGATTGGGCATTGTCGTTTGGCAGCTTGCCGCTCGAAGAGGATACAATTTCATTCCGGTGGATCGTTTGCAACGATACTTCAAGAACATCGATCTGCACAGTGCAATCAACGACAATTTGGCCTTTAAAATCAGCTTCGGACTTATGTTTGCCCTTTCCGCCTTCGGTGAGTTCTAAGGGCTACACATGACGATTGACGAATACTGTCATTGGAGATTACATATCCGATGGGGAAAAAGGGCGGGCATTCAGGTCTAAACAGGGACACTTCTCGCCTAGACGGTCGACCCGTTACTTGATCCAAATCGGATGACAACTGGCTGGCGGTCAACCGGGGTTCAACTGGCCAAAAGTTTTAGCGAGCAACTGATTTTGTCCGAAATTTGGGTTGAATTTCGCAGTATCACGAGAAGAAGCCCTCGAATTTGAGTTGGTTCGAACTTTCAAATTCCAGCTGTGGTTTATTCGCACGATAATTGCAAATGCAGACGCAGACAGATGGGGAGTATCTGCAACATCCAATTTTATCCCACACCATTGTCCACGATACAATCCCTTGTGGACTGTTCCTGTCGTGTTCTGGAATGCCTGCCTGCAACTAGCAATCCCAAAGTTCGGTCCAAGTTTTCGAATTCATAAACCCTCTCTCTAGTATCCTGTTCATTCCCTTGGGTGAGCAACATCTATCCGACATGATATGGCCCAGTCCCAGTGTGCAAAGGCATTTGCTCGCCCTAGACGACTTTGTAACGAAGACGTGCAGTCCTAGCTCCTCTCGTCACTCACGGAGCCTTGCCGCCCAGCAGACTCTCGTGGGATCCGTTGTCGGCATCAGCCAGATCACTCCAGCTCGTATCCATGCCACGACCAGAACCAGAACCTGAGGCAGCACTCCCAGTCTCACGCTTGGACACTTGTCCATCCTCTACCTCTGCTCCCTCATCTCCTTCCCTTCTACCCCCATTTATTCCGTCCCGCATCCTGCCTTGGGGCAACTGATTCATCGCGTCCTCCTCCTGATCCAACTCTCTATTGAACCACCAGAACATCCCGCCGGCGACGAACGCCACGGCGCCCATGACCCCGAAATTCCACACCAGGTACGGGTCGCGGGCGAGCCACAGGAAGGACTCGCCGATGAGGTTCGCCACGGCGGACATGCACAGCGAAAACGCCTGCACCATGGAGCGCATGTTCCGGGGCGCCTTTGTGAAGGCGTACTCGATCGACGTGATGCTGGCGAGGATCTCGCTTATCGCGACGAGGAGGTAGATCGGGGCTTGGTAGATGATGGAGATGGTCGCTGGGGGGCAGTCTCTTGTGCCGCCGCCGCCAACAACGCTGTCGGTTCCCTCAATTAGGTCTTGTTGGCCTTCAGAGGGATAATATCCGCACTCGTTGTGCGTGTAGATGTAATGTTGCAAAACCGCCGCGTACGCCATGGCCGCGGCGCCGAACCAGAATCCCAGCGTGATTTTCTTTATCGGTGTCAGTTTCACGCCCCACCGTTTGGTGAGCGCCGGGTAGATGACCAGGTCGCAGATGGGAATCAGAATGATCAGGGTCAGCGGGTCCAGGTTCGAGACAATCTCCGGAGGAACACCGGCGTGCCTCATTGTGTCCGCTTGCGATGTCAGATTATTATTCATCTGATTGTAAGTGAGCCAGTAGAGAGGAAACCAGAGCAGGACGGAGCACGCTTTCACGCCGCGACGCAACTCGGAAACCCACGCGTCGTCGAATGTCATCCATGAGGGCCGCTTGTGGGGTGGGATCCGGGATGGCTCTAAAGCGGTCCAGAACGTGGTTGTCTTGCGGACATTGCGGATTACTCTAAAAGGGTTCCAGGACCAATATGGCCGGAGGGCGTAGAGGAGTGTCTTGACGGTGGGGCCCAGCACGGAGCCCTGCGGCGGGGTGAGGCGGTAATTCTTCTTGTTGAGGACGAGGATGACGGGGCAGAGCAGGAACATCAGCGTGGGTAGCAAAAATGCCAGATAGTACCCGACATACAACGCCGCGTAGGACATGGAAATCTGGCCTATCAGGGCGCCAATGTTGATGAACAGGTAGAACCAGTTGTATATCCTGGCCGACGTCTGAGCGGGATCGATAATCACGCGCTCTCCGCTCTTAGCGTCGATCGAAACGCGCAGCTTCTCCGACACAATCTGCTCGGCAATCAGAGGTGAAATGTTCGGTTTGAAGCCTCCTGTCCCGAGGCCGAAGACGACGAGGGCGATAATGAAAGCAACGAGGGCCGTGTCGGTGTGTGCTAGCACAGAAGGCAAGGCACTGATGGTGAGAAGAACGTGGCCGATGACGGCGATGCCAATCGCCATTATGATCATCTTGTATCTGCAGGTCTTTCATCAGTAGCTGTTGGCTTCCGAGAAATCCCACGGTTCGGCCAGGTGGGGTGTTACCTTCCAAGATAGGTGTCCGCCAACCATGCTCCCAGCAGAGGCGTCACGTAACACCAAAAGGAGAAGAAAGTACCCAGCCCAGTAGCCATCTGCTGGCCCTGACCCAGCGCACCGGGGTTGTTGTCTGTATCTCCGCCTGGGTTGGGGGCTCGCCCGGTCGGGGTGAGCAGTCTTCGCTGGACGAAATTCTGGAACAGGATCTGCGTGCCGTAGTACGAGAACCGTTCGCACAGTTCCACAAAGGCGACCGTGTAGACGCGCCAGGGGATTTTGTCGGCCACGCGGGGAAGAGTCTCCAGTTCCACCTTGGTCGGATACGCGATATTGTCCTCATCAGACGAGTCGGGAGATATTAGCGGTTTGTCTTCTGTTGAGGCGTGTCAGATCATGAACTTCTGGTCCATTCGAAGCCTCGAACTTGCCTGGTTCATCCAGCATTTCCAGCATTTCCGAAATGCTGCTTCTGCGGAGCCCATCATTTGATTGTCGTGGCACAACTGTATCCTTTGATTGATGGGATGAGCGCCGTAGCGGGTATGGTGCTCCCGCGAGCGTCTCGAGTTCAACCTCATGCATCTTCGGATGCGAAGGACTCTTTCAAATCATAGATTCATCCGCAGCAGCCCTCCTCTGAGCAAGATGAAATGCCTCGTCTTCACATATGGTGGCCGCGAAGTGACAATTAGATAAGGTTCATTACACACTCTGTTGGGCGAAGCGCTAGATCATTTTCGATGCTCTGAATTCCGGATGAGGGGACGTCTGAAGAATGTAATTGCAATCAACTGGGCTTAAACAAGGCTCTGAGAAATAAGTCCGTAAAGCTGACACGTAGGAGCACAGTGTAGATGATAACGGGACTATGGCGGACCGCTCCACTTGATCATCGTCGGTTTCGGCAAAGACTTCGCAGACGTAAACTGATCTGAGCCATGAACATATCGTTTCAACGACTTGGTATGACAAGATAAGGATGAAGATTGCGACCGTGCGACCGTGCGACCGTGCGACAGTGAAACGGAGAAACCGAGAAGTTGAATAGGGGGCCAACGCGGAACATTTGCGGATCAAATATTCTTCCGGCTTCCGGCTTCACGTCTCACGAGGCTGACGGCGGGTCACGAAGATCAAGGCAACGTAATGGATCTGAAATAGGAGTCTTACAAGTATGGAAAGTTGGTGGTGGTGGCGGTGGTGGTGGTAAGAAGCGTAGATACAGCCAAATATAAGTTGGCATGCAGGTCTTACTAAAGCCAACGAAGCTGTACCAGTACAAACACCACCATTGACACATAGATGCCACCCTTTACCTCATATGAATACCCCATTCCCGCATTCCTCTTCCACGAGACGGTCGTAACTGCTTCGTGCTGCGCCGTGGCTGTGCGTACGTATTAGGCAAGCACGCCGAACAACGACTTCGTCCTCGCCCAGTACTCAGATGCAGACTTTATATTCGCTTTCTCCTCAGGCAGGGTTGATGTATCTCGTCCAAGAGCAATACTGAGATATGCTTCGTCAAACTCGTTCTCCACATACCAGACCTTGGACTCAGATCTGAAGATGTGAGATCTGACGGCTTCTTTAACCAATTCAACCACGGGAAGAGACCACAAATCGGTGCCACCAATCTCCAGCATGATCTTGCACAGTTGTCGTAAAGTTGAGAATGCACAAGGGGAGGGCATGCTGTCCGGCAGCATGTCCTTGTTCCAGCCCATTGGCTTCTTCTTGCCTTCTCTTGACGCGGCCAATTGGACACTGACTTCTTCAGCCACGAGCTGATGCAACTTGTGGACAATCTCAGGGAGCTTTGTAAATCTTGCTTGTTGTGGAAATGCATGCTGCAAGGAAGTCATTGAAACCCTGATGGCGCGCAACAATGCCACGACATGTAAGACAGTCTTTGGCTCATCCACCACCTGGATGGCTCTTTGTGTGATACTTGCCTCATATTCCAGCAACGCCTTCTGCAACGTGTCTTGTAGGCTGTTGCGGTACAACCTCGAGTCCATTTCGCACAGCTCTCTGATCAGATCAGAGGCTTCGTCTTCATTCTCTTCGTCGGGCTCTTCAACAATATCTCTCCATCTTATTTTCGCGATTTCGTCAAGTTGATCGAATGCGTTGTTCGTAGTCGTGATCCATGTATTCAATGACTTTGAAGCTTTAGACAATGCAACATTACTGCCCTCATGTCTTTTCCTGACGCGGGTAATGAGCTGAGCCCCTCCGGCATCCAAATTTGATAAGGCAAGCTCTGAATCCCATAATGATTTTGTGGTCCTGCTGGTGGCAAGTTTGTCGAGAAGCACGGTCGTGATGTGAGCCAGGCGAGCACTGCGATTGTGGCAAATGTCGTGCAATCTCTTGTTCAGAGCCTGAGAGATTTGATCTTTGATGTCCGACCCTGCTGGCGTTGAGAAGTAGGAAGGGAGGAGAGTGGTGTAAAGTTCTTGCCGCAATTCCAGCACCTCGGCTATCTGATCCACTGAAGCAAGATAATGGTGCAGTGAATCAGAAAATGTTCGTAAGCACTCCCGGGACCATGTCTCCAGTTTACCTTGCGTCTCTTCGAATGTGGGTGCACTTCTCTTGAAGTAGGGAACAAATGACCGTATTTCATCTGGAATCAATAAGAAAGTCTGATCAAGGCCTAGAGGTTCCAGGCCTCTGATAGACGGATCCTCCAATATTGGTCTCTTCTGCAAGTGATTAATAGAGTCGATCATCGGGCGTCCTATCAGAGACTTGAAAGTCTGTAAGGATACTATCTGGTACCGTAAGGCGTGACAAATGGTAGGTCGCTGGCGAGAGGCGGCCAGCTGACGCCGGATTTTCTCAAGCCTGAGCTGGCGCAGATGCGCCAGGGCATCCTCAGAAGAACTGCTGGTGACCAAGCAGTAAGCACACATTGACTCGAGAAGATCCGACAGCGTTGACGTAGGGTTGGTCAACCTAGCTTCTATTCGCAGAAGCAGTTGCCGCCGAAGTGCACCAAGTCTGTTCCGCAGGGAATCGAGGCTCCTGGTCAGCGTGTCCTGGTCGCCCAGAGACTTCAACAGTAATCTCGAGACGACCATGAGTTGAGCACATTGCAAGATATGGTGGTCACGAAGAGATGAAGCCGCAGTCGAGCAGCACCGCTGCAGGAGGCGAAACTGGGCCAGCGCCACTTTGTCGGCCGGCGGAGGTCGAGGAGAGGCATCTTGCTGAAGGGGTCTGCAATTGTGACTGATTGACACAAGGCTGTCCTCTGCAGACCTAGTCTGTGCATCTAGGACGACAATGGCTTCGGCAGTTGCCAAAAGCTCGCGATAGCTCCCGCTGGTATTTTAAGAGAATCAGTACTGTGATATTGTACGTCCCAGTCGGGAGCAGGAGAGGCAACCTACCCAACGAGAGCTCGCAGCTTGTCTTTGTTTTGTGCAGCACTTGCCCGCAACTGCTTTTCAATCACGCGGGTTTGTGGGATGCGATGGTTTTCAAAGGCATGCTGCCAGTTGATGATTGTCGCACTAGGATCCATACTGGGGTGACAGCGTCCAGAATCTAGACACAACCACCTGATAGTGCCAGTTATTAACGGGTAGACTTCTAAAATGGCACTGTCAGTTGCGTCAAGACACCATATAATGGACAAGTCTTCCGTATCAATGTTCTTAGATCACTTTCAAAATCAGTTGAGGCCACGCTGGAAGCGACTGCGTTGGTTATATGAGTGCTTCGCCGTAGCCACCTTAATCGCAGTGATGTCTCAATAACGGCACATCTACAAGCACGGACAATTATTCTTTTCAATCGGTCAAGCTTGAGAGCCTGTTCATGCAGGCCCAACATTGATATACAGATTCTGAAGACTCGGGTCTTCCTCTAACGAGTCTAAAATAGTCTGCACCTCTTCCTCCTGTTGCGCGGACAGGGTAACCATGGAATCCTCATTCGGCATGTAGACCACCTCTGCCTTTTCCACTTGGATTCCCAGCTTGCTCTGAAGCTTGTGAGCAACAGCTATAACATCACCGGGCTCTGTCTCGACCACCAGCTTGTTCTCTTCCGAAGCAATGTCCAGGGCTCCTGCCTCGATAGCATCCTCAAGCGCCTCTTCCACACTGATCTTTTCCTGCTCTTCAAACGAGACGCGCCCCTTCTTCTCGAACATGAATGCTGTAGGGGTGACTGTGCCGCCGGCTTTGGTGATGATGTACCGGATATCTGTCAGCGTCCTCGCTTTGTTGTCTGTCTGGCACTCGATCATAGCCGCAACGCCGTGAGGTAGCATAGCTTCGATGGTGACATTTTCAAGGGCTTGGCCACTTGGAGATTTCCCCTGTCCTTTTGCGATGGCGTTCTCGATGGCAGTCTTGGAGAGCTGGCCCTTTTTGGCGACTGCGATCGCATGTGCCAGTCTGGAGTTCATGGTGGGATCAGGCCCGCCCACTGTATCACAATCAGTTTCAGAGCCTCATTGAACTATGTTGTTCATATCTTACACTTTGAAGCCATAATGATGTCCGCAGATAGGTGGGTACGGACTCTGCTCTTCGCCGCATCTGCCTTACCCTTGTCATGTTTGATCTTTGCCCACTTGCTGTGTCCCGAAGGTCGGAGCTGACAGCTTGACCAGTGCCGACATGGCGCCTGAAAGCTCTCCAAGGAGAGACGCAACCTCCAGAGCTGGCGCGCACCCATGCAAAAGACAGAATGCTCTCAGCGAACAACGGCGAGGGTTGATACAACATCTCCCAGAAGGGACACAGGATTGGAGAAACGCGGGAAGAAAATATTGGTCGGGGCATAGCGGCAGAGTGGCAGCTGCGTTTCCTGGCTTTATGGTTATCCGTTGCCCTCCGCATCCACAGCCACCGCCATCATGATCCGAAGCATTCGAGCACCGCCTCAGTACCTCAGCACTTTCTACCGCATGACTTCTCAATCCATTTCTGACCGGCGTCAAATGACCGTAACTTCTGTCTTACATGTCCGCATCCCGAACATCAGGCTTCAGTCCCAAAGCTCCACCTGGATTCTTGATTAGACAGGCAGCATGTCCACTTCTACCTCCATATTCCAGAACCGCTATCAAGACTTTCCCAACAGAGACCGTATTCAAACTGAGCACGTCAATGGCGTACGTCGGGGCATGAAGGATATCTTCAACATACTCTCTTGACTTGGGCAACCCTCGTCGGCCTCGGCACTGAATTTGGCCTGTGATTAATCGTGGCCATGGTCCACGAGAGGCGAGCTGGTGTGTTAACTTCAGTCCGACTGTGTGCTTGCGCAGCCATTTAGCTTATATTGTTGAATTGCACCGGCCACCTAGCCATTCTAACCTCTAAACGGGCATGCATGCCTTCTGAATGTCCGTAGACTCAGTACTCCGAGTGATGTCGGCGAGTGGACTCTGATAGCAGCATTAAGTTTGTTGGAACGAATCTACATTCATTTACAAAACGGAATTAAACGTGCCCTTCCTGCTAGGCAGAAAGTATCTGGTAAGGAAGAAGGCCGTGCCGTGTGGGTCTCCTGAGTTGTTCCACATTTTGACTGATCAAGAAATGAGGCCGCTCTGCCAAACGCAGAAGCAGGATGCCTCGCAAACAACGGGTCTCCTGCGAACGACGCCACACCCGAGGTTCCTGGTGGTGATGATCCCTGCAAGTTGCCCTGTCGGCCCTGGCATGTTACGGAGCACGAGAGATACTTACTCAGAGCACCGAAGTTAGCTCGAGAATCGAATAGCTCTACCGACTTTCTTAGCGGCTCAGGGACCCCTCAAGAAGCGAACGGTGGCGAGAGCCACTCAAAGGAACCCCTGAAAATCCCTGGAGGCTCAGCCTGATGGGCGTGTCGAAAGGCTGAAGCTGCAAGAGAATCGCGAACACCCCGGTTCGCCCAGACCGGCTGTTTGAAAAGCTGTGTCGCGACAGACTTGTTTAGCCCGGTCCAGATTACCCATTCATAAGCAATGTTCCCTGCTGAAGAACAAGCACCTCGGTAATAATGCCATAGCTCGGCGTCCGATTCCCACCATAGTGGGCATGGAGAGGTGTCTCGATTCTCCATTCTGTTTTGAGAGAATTATCATTAGCTATGCAAGCCACGCGGCAAAAAGGATCATCTAACATGCCTCGAAGATTAAGAAGACAGTGCGGAATAAGAGCTCGGGCTATTTCTGCGCAGTGGGGTTCTTTCAGGTGGGTAAAGGTAGAGTATGACTTGCATTTGCATTCAGCTAGCGCCCTATGGGTGGTGAGATATTTTCCGCTTCGACGCATGTTCGTTGCCTATGTAATTATGGTTCGCCCCCAGCCCCATTGAAAGATATGCCTAGCAGTGTATCATACTGTATGGTACGCCGATGCATTGAGATTGTCATGATTGGTCGATCGAGCTCGTTTTCATACTGCCAGGTGGTTCCTCCTCAACGCGCTGCCGGAAGCTCCCACACGAAACGAGATGTGCTGCTAGTGTAAGGCATGTGGTCTGTTGCAGAACTCTTTTTTCACGTCGAGCAAACAATATCCCTGGGCATAGCTCCATCCCATTCACTTCTTGTAGACATTGCCGTTGGGAGATTTGTAGGTTGAGCCTCCACTGCCGTTGTTGTGGTAGGTGCTGCCGTTAGCATTGGAGTAGTAGTAGGAGCCATCTGCAACAGCAAGCATAGTACACTTCATTACGGCTCTGGGCATGCAAAACAGGCTCCTTACCGGTATTGGAGTAGTGATAGGCAGATCCTCCAGGCTGAGTGCGTGCGTCCCAGCTGTTTCCCTGCATCCACGGATTAGCCAACGAGGAGACTGTGAAATCCCAAGTATGGATCTTACTCCACGATTGACTCCGGTATTGGTGACCTGGTATGGGTAGTACGAACTGCCGGACGAACCGGTTCCCGAGCTGGTATTCTCCTTGCCAGACATCTCGAACAGCGGTGGGGTTGTGCAGGGGTAGTGGTTATAGATCAGATCGATCGAGGATAGCTGGAATGCAGGATGCAAGACAATCGTCGTGGCAATAGAGGAGTGGAGAGAGGTTGCACGCAGTGGTTGTTGGTTGGCAGAGCTAGAGAGACCAAGGGTGCGGATTGCAGATGATTAATAGTGGGAGGGCGGCACTTGGCCGGCGGAGTTTCCCCACTTTTATAGGCCCTTTATTACCTAGGTAGTCAGCGGCATTCACAATTCATTCGGTCTTTCCTGCCTCTATTAACTCGCGGTCTTGATTGTTATCTTGTTCCCTAGCGCAATTACAGCTTCTTCATTCTCATTTGCGTATTGGACATCATGCGCCCATGTGAAAACACGAATGCTAAGCCTTCACTACCTGTGGGCATGCCGCGTGTTGCGCCGTCACAGCTGTCATCTTGCTGACGTTCATCACTCCTAAAACAAGATCATGTTCGTTTCCTGTGAGGAAGGCATAGATCTGCATCAGCTTGGCCTAGAGGACTAACCGCTCAGCATGTTAAGAGAAAGGTCCGGTGTGAAGTCGGTTCTGATATGCGGTCAGGGTTACGCGGCCCAGCTCGATCCTTTTCGTTCTTTACCATGTCTTCAGGCGGGGTTCCTATCGGAGCAATCTTGAAATCAAGGATTTCCCAGGAGAAGGCTTAAATGTATGCCATGAGGAGATAATTACGATGCGAGAGAGCGACGTTTCGGAGGCTAGACCTGTTGAAACAGGTAGACAAGTGCTTTGGATCCGCCAAACCTCGAGGTGCTTACCGACGCAATGAGCTAGGCACAATCCCCGGAACCAATGTCTTTCTACTGACAGAGACGCGCACAGATCATATCTGGTTGTACCAAACCCTGGTTCTGGGTCTGCTGCTCGTTGCCTGCCTACTCCCCAGTTCACAAGCAGGCAGATCCAATATCTGCGAATAAACCCAGCCTTTTTCTCTTGTCTTTCAAAGGTCGAGCAGAGCCCCAAAAGGCACCTTCACGGCTGACTCGCGAGATCGATCTTGTCTCCTGATGAAGGGCCAGTATAGCTTTTCGTGTGTGTGGGCGCTTTGAGAATGCCTCAGAACGAAAATACACTTGCAAAGGCTGGTCCGAGTCCATGAAGCGCCCGAGGCAGTTAACATTCTGCGCCTGTGGCCCAAGAAGTCAGACTAGATTCGAAGACACCACATCACAGGCTCAAAGTCTTCTTATTTCACAGCGGGCTGAAATTGGGAGTGATATCTTGAATCCACCGTGTGATAACTCAGCCACAGCGACGTTACCCTGATTCGATCGAGCTTCTATCAAGCAGTAAGTGTGTCCCTAAACAGATCGATGCTGGGGCGCGGGAACAGCAGCTCTTCTACAATAAATAGCTCGGAGTGTTCCAATTTCCTGCCCCGGGGCTGTGGACGCCTTAGTCTTCCTGGGGCCAACCAATAGTCTACCTTGAGCAGTGGCCATGTCGGAAGGCGGGTTTGCACCTCTGACGATTTATATGAGAAAGCACACTTTTGAAAACACAAGTTTCGGAATCTTCTCCCGCCTTTGCGGTGAGTGGTCTAACTGCTATGCTCACCTCAAGGCGACTATAGCAAGTGCTCATGCCTTTCTCAAGGTTGCCTTAGGGCCAAAAGGCGTCAGGGTTGCGGCAAATCAAAGCATGCTTTGATGTGCCGCAGCAGCCCGTCTTCTCAAGGCTGTATGCGGCTGGCAATTAGACTTTGCAGTCGCGTGGTCTGAATCTCATGCATGTCCTCTCCAATCGACAGGCGGAGGATTATGGTAGCTGGAAAATTTCCGCTCCGAGTCCTTGCCCTTGGGGTTGACTTGGGCTTCTGGCTGCTACAGTGGAACCCAAGGTCCATTCTTTTCTTCGCAGGCCCTTGTGAGATGGCCAATGGGCTTCTCAAATCTTGGTATGAAATATGTACACTAGGTACTCTACCTTCCCATTCGCTCCCTTCCATCACTTTTTGCCGTTTCAAACCTGCGCCACATCCTCCTCAACCCGGCAAGCAATGAGAGATTGACTTCGACGAGTGTCTAACGTCCATCTGTGAAAGCAGCTGTGTACCCATATCTTCACCGACTCCTAGGCCACCACACAGCCTTCAATGGGGCAAAATCCCGACAAACCAGCAAAGTAAATGCCTCAAAACTTTGACGAACAGTATGGGTTGGTGATGATAAGGAGTGCTCCATCACTACTCTTCAAATCTCTTCATCATTTCAACCCTCCTTGCTGGGAGGACAACAACTACAGCTACTCCATCCTATCCGGGACTGTTCCAATATGCGGTAAGTGAGATTCAACCGAACCCGGCCCCTTACTGATATGGCTATTTAGCCCCAGAATGTACGATTCCTCCTTGTCCGCACCAGAAACTCGGCACCAGATGGGAGAGAAACCATCTTCACCGTCACTAGAAGAAGAAGGCAACAGATTTGGACATCTTCAACGATACTTTCCCAGTTCAACTTGTAACAGTCTTCCTCTGACGCATCCATCCACCTCAGGCGGAGCCGTACAAGTCTGGTACTGCTGCAACTGCGGTTATGGGCCGATGACCGTCAAGATCAATGCCTCTTGCGCCAACTGCTATAAACACCAACGGTGTCCTACATGCCCCATTGAAAGCACTGGAGCATAAACTCTCAAGAACCGAAAACCCCTGACTTGACAATATCAGCGGCGGGACTGAGCACTGACTGTTCCACATGTATTGCCCGCGTTTACAAGAGGTCGTGTGTTTGAAAAAAGACGGGAGGTCGGTGTCGATGCTAAGTCGGTTGGCGGAGCCAAAGCATGAGGACAGAGTTGTGTGGGGGATTTGTGTGCTTTATTAATGATGCTTCTACTTTCGAGGCATGGCAATAGGGTCGCATGTCTAGGCTGCCTTCTGAATGGTTTCAGATATTCTAGTTTCTGCCGCAGATCAGCTGCAGATGCTACTGCATTAGCGAGAGCAGAAGTACAATGCTGTCACAACTTGCATCCGCCCAGCAACGGCGCGACTAGCCTGCATATCCTTTGTTCATGTGCAGAACGCAAGTTCATCTGGCTGCGAGTTGGAGAGATTGCCCTGAGGGATTCTCACCTAGCTGTCTGTCCACCTAGAGAAGTCGGTTGATAAAGTCTGCAACACCGGGAAAACATTTGCAACGATGCTAGTAGACAGGCCCCAGGGTGTCTTTCAAAAAGGTTGAGAGGGCTGACTGAGGTCTACTGCGCCCCAGCTCAGCCCATCTCGTTGGATTGGGCATAGAGTGTGGGTGACGCTGATACAGTGCCCAACCCGCGCACGACTATGATAGAGTTCTGCAAGGCTGAGGCCCCTTGGGGTCTCGAGGCTGTTTGAGGTCGAAAGTGGACCAGGTGCAAGAAGCCTAAGTTACAGAAAGAAATCCTCTTTTCCACAACTGTGAAGTCTGTCATGGACTAGCACACCGCATGATTGCAGAGATCCCGAGTGTAATGCGACCTTGTTGAACGGAGGAACAGGCGGGGGGTTCGACAGGGTGAGCGGGAGTGGCTGAGAGGGACTGTGATTGGCTAGCCTCACTAGTCTCACTAGCCTCACAAGGCGCCGGTGCCAAGGCTCGGGGTCGGGCTGAAGCTGCGGGAAAAGGCAGCCAGCGAGCCAGGCAGAATTCCCATCATTATCCCGCACGCCAGATCAGTCATGCGATATCCGCGCAATCCTGTCTGCGAAAGGCAAAGGCGCCGTGGAAGCTGCTCAGCCAATTCCCTGTGCAGCCCCGATGCCCAGATGTGAGTCAGGAGGCTTGTTGACTGGGGCCGGCCAAATCCCGACATTCTCCTCGATCACATCTTCCCCCGCCCAGGCGGACTACCTGCCTCTTCTATGACTCGATGCGGTGAATTTTGCTGAAAGACCCAGACTCATGCAGCCTTTGTCTTCCGGTCTGACGCTCCAATACGAGAGTGCAGCAATTCGGATTGGGCTACCGGCGATTTGGATCGATCTCCTAAGGACAGTGGAAAGTCGGGATCTTTGTGTGACGCCACATTCAGCGGACACGAACACAAATGATCCTACCAAACTTCTACAAGATCATTCTCAGCCCCTTGAAAGCCAAAAGATATTCTGGGACCAGGCTCCTCCGATCGTTGGAGCCTAGTCTTGAGCCACTGCTTCCCTCCTGACCTAGGTGCTTTTGTCCATTTGGAGGACTTTTGCCTAGGGTGGCTTTTGGAAGGCAACCAATCAGACTTTCGGGTAGGGCGTCTTTTTGAAAAGCGCAGGAAAGAACACTTCTTTGCTCACTGACTGGTCATGCCTTTGAAACCACTCTGAGAACCGAGCTCGTCTTGTTTGAGCGGCGTTCCAGATGGAGGCGGCCACTAGGACTCCTCGACTCCTCACAAGGGAAAATAAACACGCAATCACCATGGCGTCGACATTTGTCACAGCACCGCACGCTAGGGTATTTCTATGATTGTGTGGATGACAGGACAATATCTCAGGTTAGAAGCTGCTGGGTCCACTTGCACCCAGCAAGCTTTGCAGCGCCGTGAACATGCCTATCCTCCTGGGAATCTTTCAATTGTCTTTTTGTGCTCTTCTGGCCGACTCTGACCCTGCTCCACCAACGCTCTGGTGCCTTTAGGTCTCTTCACAATCATTTCTCGACATTCGCAAAGCCCTGAGTCCTCCTGCGGGTCCCTGTTGAATACCCCGGCATCACCGATACTCCACAGTACCCGTTGTTTGCGCAATTATGTTGGTTCAACATGGATATTGAAGTTTTGTTTCTTCAACAAAGATCCGAGTTTGCCTGGCTGTGGCTGCGGATGGGACTTCTCTGTCCACCATTTAACGGCACCAAGAGGCTACTATCCTGTGAGATGGTCTTCACGAGAGCACCATTTTATTTTATAAACGAAGGTGGTTTCCCTGTACATTGCTAACTTTCTACCCGCACTATCAACGAAAGATCGTCACCTT